GAGGCACATATACGTTGATGCGTATAAAACGCATCCTTGGTGTGTTTCACTTGGTGTGTCTCGCCTACATAGTCGCGCTTAAGAACTGAAACGAAAGCAAACGGTTTAACAGAGAGAAAAGGAAAAGGAGAATCCTCGATGTAAAGTGTTACTGCAACATTGGCAAAGTATACCTACCACATACAGTGCGCAGCGTTGTATGTGGCTTGAAGTGGTAAAGAACGATAGGATAACGGTGTGGTAACGGCTTGGCAATGGCCGCGTGGTCATGGTACGGTCGCATCGCGATTCCTCGCGCTACGAGAAAGTTTCGTCAATTTTTTTTTTTTTTTTTTTTCCCCTCCTTTTTCTCTTTTCCTTATTCGTATGCATTTCTGGCTCTCGCGACTGCTTTCTCACCACTTGTTCCCTTCGCTTCCCCGTTTCTGCTTCAAGCTGCATTTACAGCCGAAATTTTTTGCACACGCGTATGTCTCTCGCAACGGAAAAAATCAAAATAATTTGTCACTTTTCTCCTTGCTCAGTTTCGTCATTTTCTCCTTACTTTATTCCACGCCCCTTTTCTTTTCCGTTTCTTCCGTTTCCTTCTTCTGTTCTCGATCGTTTAATTTTTCTACAATCAACTTTGTAATATCGTAGTTTTTCGATTTATCAAACAAATGTCGTGTTCCAACTACGGTTGAATGGAGTACAAAAAAAAACTTTGCGTATCGCAGAAATTAGAAGTTATAGACATATATTGTACATATTTTATGAAAGACCTCAAATCCCACAAAACTAAAGTTTTGTAACAATGCTGTTGTAAAAAAACTAACCCTATAAATGAAAAATTACCAAATGCTCATTTGTACTGCTGTGATAATCTCTTAACGTTAACCGTATCCATTTAATTTACGTATCTATAAATTCTCGCCGTGCAACAAATATCGAGATTTTCTCTATTGGTACGAATATCGCGGGGTTTGACTTGAGTTTGTCAAAACCCTAGAGACCTTGCGCCAAATTGATCAACATTATTTTAATTTTATCACATTTACGTTTGCGATTAATTTAGTTTAATTTAAAGAAAAGAAAAGAAAAGAGAAAATAGTCTCAAAAGATAAAAATAAAAAGTTCGTTAAGGAATAACGATAAAATTGTAAAAGATCCAAGGTAAGTAAAAAACAATATAATTATATAGATATTTCTATGACATGGTAGCTCTTCTCCTTGGCTCTCGATTTACGTGTCATTTAATCGGTCATTAATTATTACTCGTGACTAAAACGCCGCTTATCCACTCAAAAATTATTGTTGAAGAAACGAGTATAAGCAACGGCCTCCTGACCGGCATAATTGTTTCGATTGCGGAGATTAATTTCGAAACACGAAATAGTAGAAGCATTTAATTAGCTCTGTCACTGGACGAGCGCGTACAACCCAACGTCAGTTTGTTGCGTTCACTCGTACAGAGTACAGAGGAGAAGAGGTATGGATGTCTGGTAGATACGTAGGCAGAGGAAACGGTAGGCAGAGGTACGGCGCGGTGTGGTGCGGTGTGGTGCGATGTGGTGTGGTGTGGTGTGGTGTGGTGTGGTGCGGCGGTGGTGGTGGTCGAGGTACGCGACAGGGCGGCACGCTGGCACGCAGGCAGCTTGACACGCACGCTCTCTCACGTACAAGCTCGTTCGCACGTACGTTGCCTACGTTTGCGTGGGTAGAGAGAAGTTTCGCCGCGCGTGCCGACGACTATCTCCTCCAACCCCACTCACAGTGCCGACGCCTTACCACGGCGCGGCGTGTGCACACTTCCTCGCTCTCCACGTTTTCCACACCCACCGCCGCGTCTCTCTTCTTTGCCGCTGCTACTTGCTGGTTCACTCTGTTTCTCCCTTCAAGCGCCACCGCTTCATCACGACCACCAATGCGCGCGCGTGTGTGTGCCCGCGTACGTACGTACACGTATTATACTGGCTGGCTGGCTGGCTGGCTGGCTGGCTGGCTGTGCGGAGCACGCTTCACGGTCTCCACGGTCCATCCGTTCGACCGGTCGTCGAGATCGTTCCTTCTCCCCTTCCCTATAATCCATGAAGCGGCCGCCGCCCGTCTCACACTACCTGCCGCACGCCGCACACGCCTCACGCTACTACAGCTCGCGCTCCGCACGCCATCACGCCGCACGCCGCACGCCGCACGCCGCACGCCGCCACACGCCGCCAACATACACCCTCCCGCCGCATGCCGTCCATCGTCCGCCGTGCGCCGCCTGCCGCCTGCCGCCTGCCGCCAGTCGCTCGTCACCCTCTGCCCACCACCCGCCTCGAGGGCTCATCACCTCGACGAGCCGAACAGCACGGATCGAGCTTGTCCTGTGACGGCACTTGCTCCACTCTCCCTCGACCATCGCCGCGCTACCACTTGCCTCGATACGGGCCACGCCGCGCGTCCTCTATTGCGCCACGCCGCGCCACGCCGCGCTGCATTTAGTCGCGCCACGCCGCATGGACACATGCAGTTGCGCCGCGTCTCGCCTCGTCTCGCCTAGCCCTAGCATAGCCTCTCCCACCCCGCCCCGCCCCGCAAAGCCGCGCCGCGCCGCGCCGCGCCGCGCCGTGCCGTCGCGTCGTTGCTGCCGTCTGCAGAGACCACGCTGCGCGTCGCGTCGTGCTGGCTCGTGCCATGCCAGCACCGACAACGAGCCATCACCCGCCCTCATCCCTCTCCAACCACCCCTACCATCACCTTTCTTCGGCAACTCGTCGTAATTTCCTACGCCACGGCGTTATCCTCGTCTATATCCAGTCACACGCACACGACCTGCTGCCGCTGCCGTTACCATCGCCGCCTTTTCGTTTGCAGTGTGCGACAGCGAGCCATCAAGAACGAGAGAAACGGATGAACAAAATATAAAAAAAGGGAAAGTGAGGCGAGACCAAGTAGACGGACGGACAGACGGATAGCAGCAGATTAAAGGTCATGCTGGACAGTAACGATGTTCCCTCGTTGCGTTTGATACCGAAAACTTGCTTCTTTCCATATTTCGTACAGTAATTTCGTGGACAGTAATGACGAATGTACGTACTTACGTACGTACTTACATTCTTCTAAAATTACGCGTTACTTAGGAAATTTGGATTTTTCTTGCCACTGGAAAGTACAATTCTAACAACTTTCAATCAGACAGATCATTTGTAATTCGAGATGCTAAAGACTCGTGAATTCCCCAATGTTATTCTTATCGCGATAAATAGAATGCACTATAATGGGCGCTATATTGTATTTTTATTTTTAGAAATGTGCCACGATTTTAAATGGTTAAAAAAAAAAAAAAAAAAAAAGGAAAAAAGGGAAAAAAGGGAAAAAGAAAAGAAAGAAGAGAAAGGGTAAGGAAAGAAAAGAAAATGTAAAAACAATCAAAATTGGTTGCTGTTTTAACGACGCATCACGGTTGTTAGATGGTAAGCGACATGGCGAAAAAGAAAAAAAAGGAGATCAAGGTAGGTCGCGTGCAACTAGCAACTCGCTAGAAATGGCAAAAAGAAAGAAAGATCGGGATGAGAGAGAGAGAGAGAGAGAGAGAGAATTCGAGGTAGCCGCAGGCAAGGGCGCGCGTGAGCGGACAAGCGAACCTCATCCTCTCTTTCTGCCCCTTGACGGCAGCGGTTCTGGCAAGCAGCCACCATCCAACCCCCGCCACACGCACGACCAACCGCGGCGCGAACCTCTGTGCGGCTCCCGGCTTCTCGCCCACGACCCACGACTCACACACGCGCGAATCTTGCTGAAGAGCCGCTAGCTACCGCTCGTCGATTCGCAGTCCGTCACCGTTGCCCGTCCAGTAAGGATGGAGCCGAGTTCTTTCTCGATGTAAACCAACAGAAAAAAAAACACACACACACACAAACAGCAAATTCGATAAATACTTTTCGACAAATCAAATCTTTATCGTCGCGAGTTCTTGGGCCAATTTCTGAACAGTTGGAAACATGATACGAAGAAAATTGGATCTCTTCACGGCCGAAACTAGTGTTGTGAAGCGGCACGGATGTCGAGTAATATATAAGATTGTTATTTTCTTTTGTCAATTGTAATTGTAGTTTTCTGAAGATTTTCAACATTTTCTCGTGGTTAAGAAAGTTAGAATCCGCTGCGACAATGTGAATAGATCGAATCATCACGATCGAAAGGTCTGTCATTGCAAGTGTATCGTACAAGGAAGCACGTGGTGATTTAAAATGTGTTTTTGTCTTCAATGGAAACTTTGAAACAGTCTAATAAAAGTTCAGTGATCGCGCGCGCGTGTCTCGCTAGACTGCATGGAAAACGCGTGGTGGTATCGTCGATCAAGAATTACGGTGAAACTCTTGAAATAGAGTAAGATACGACGTGGGAGTTGGCAGCTGATACGACGCATGCATATGTGTTTACGTTGTGACTAATGGAACTTGGGAAAGCTTTCGATATGATACGTTAATACAAAAAGAAAACGGAGAAGGATGATAATCGAGAGTTATAGATTAGTGTCAACAGTGTTGGAATTCAATGAAAAGAGTACATTTGTGTCAGCGTGTTGCCGCGTAACTTCTTAGAACGCGAGATGCTGAGTGTCTCAACCGCGTCCAGTCGATTACTTTGGACGCTGAAATCCATTTTGTCACTGACACCGTCACCGACACTGACACCGACTCCGACACCAACACCGACACCGACACCGACACCGGCACCGACACCGACACCGACACCGACACCGACACCGACACTGACACTGACACCGACACCGACACCGACACCGACACCGACACCGTCACTGTCGCCGTCGCCGTCGTCGACGTCGTCATCGTCGTCGGTGTCGTCGTCGTCGTTGTCGTCGTCGTCGTCGTCGTCGTCGTCGTCGTCGTTGTTGCTACCGCCGTTGCCCCCGTCGTCGTCGTCGGTGTCGTCGTTGTCGTCGGCTTCGTCGTCGTCGACGTCGGGGCGGCCGCCGTCGTTGTCATCTTTGTCACTATCTTTCTGGTCATCATCGACGTCCTCCTGGTCCTTGTTATCGCCGTCGTCATTATCATCATTGTTGCTGTTATTCTCCTTGTTGTTAGTATCGATACCAGTTTCACCCTCGTTATCACCGTTCCCATTATTCTCGTCACAGCGGAGGGCCCGCGTGGCCTGCTAAGATGACCGCTCGTCTTCATTCGTTGAGACATCAAGAAAAGAAATCGGCTGGCAACACTCATAGACATTACCATCATCATCAATCGCAACATCAACAGAGCGTGCATCAAGGACCGAGTCCGGCGGCCAGCCCTAGTCCTAGTCTCAGCCCAAGTCCTAAACTTTCGGATGGTCGTCGAGTAAGTGAATCTTCGTTTTTACGTGATTCTTTTTCTTTCTTTTTCCTCGTCACTTTGCCATGTTTCATTGATGTTGGTTTCTAACAATAAGCTAACATTTATATGTCACAACTGCGTCACAACTTTTCCACAACTTGTCGCAAAAATTATTATTGTTACGTAATTAAATATAAATTCTCTGCTTCGCATCGCGACATTATTTTTCCGATTATTTTTATTATATCACACGGTACAGGTTGATTGGTTGTCTCAATCGAATTACATATTGCATATACACGTTTAAAAAAGCGCGGGTATGTCAATGATCTTGAACGTATGTTTGCGTATTTTATCATGGATGCCGCTATATTCGTAAGTAAAAAGTAAATGACGAATAAATGTAATAATAACTGTAGTATTACGGTTTGTTCGATATTAGTAATTATTTTAGGAATGTGCAATGTGCATACATACTCATACTTACGTCGTCGTTTCTAACAACGTTTAAGTGGAAATTATAATGCATTCAGAGAGTTAGAATCTTTTACTTTTATTATGGTTCATTTCTAAATTTTCAGAATAATTTTCTGACATATATTTGTAATTTTCAATTAGCAATATAAAAATCCCCGTTAGAATGCGGTACTCGTGCGAATTCATTTTTTTTTTTTTTTTTTTTTTTTTTTAAACCGAAGCAAAGTTTGTATCGCCTATTCTACCATCTTAGGCACTTTCTTTTTTTTCCTTTCTTTCCTGTGATTATTCGCGTTTTATGTGAAAACTTGTATTAACATTTCCTACAATTTATCTAAAATAAATATAAACACACGACGAGTAGTAAGTCTTATACCCAAGACTTTCTTTGTTACATTATAGTGTCTTTATCGTTAAAAAAGTGATTAATTTAATCGATTTATTCAATCAATCATCCTGTATTACTTGCTTCGATTTTCCTTGGATTTTCATTTTGCCACTTCCTCCAATTTTAACATGTAAAAAAGATACTACTTTTTCTTTCAGTTCTGTAATGATTAGATGCTTTTATTTGTATCATGATACGTAGTTTACATATGCCTATGTATTATACGGAGTAAGAAAAAAGGGTAGACAAGAGAGCAAGAGGAAGAAGGGAGAGAATAGATATTGGTAGGCGAATATTTTTAGAGACGACGGTCACGTATATAATTTGACATTGTATTATTCTACCGACGATATGGGTTATCTTTCAGGCTAACAAACCACTAATGGAAAAACGACGGCGAGCCAGAATCAACCAGTCGTTGGCGGCGCTAAAAGCGCTCATCCTTGACAGCGCCCGGTTGGAGAACACGAAGCACAGCAAACTCGAGAAAGCTGACATTTTAGAGTTAACGGTTCGACATTTACAAAGGCAAAGATCCCTTGCTCAGCCTGGTTTGTCAAGATACAAGGCTGGCTATCAAGATTGTTCCAGAGAGGTACGTTTTCGTTTAACGTGTTACACTTATCACTAACAAAAAGCAGTTTCACTTATCCGCAACTACTTATCCTGTAGTAACTACCAACGACTAAGAATATCGAAAAAATTGAAATACGACCAAAGGAAAAAGTTTATAGTATAGTTGTATGGTTCTTGCCGGAGAATCCAAGTTTCTATTTGTTTCTATTTTCAGTGAAATTATTGATGGATAGATGGATATTTTCTTTCTCTCGTCATACCTTTACAGTTTTTGATATCGTCGTTTTTTTTTTTTTTTTCTTTTCTGCGTAATGTTTCCTTAACCACGTACGTGCATATACGTATACTCGTATGTATGACTGTACATTAGCCGAGCACGATCGTCGCCGATCGATTTTTTGCCATCTGCGAATCGATGAATCGATGTCGAATTCGAACTTATTAGCTCACCCGACAAGACGGTAAAAAGAAAAAGAAAAAGAGACAATCGGCTATTGACGTTGTTGACAATCAATTTAGATAGAAAAGTATATTGAAAAATAGACGAAACGTTTTAGCGATTGTTAGCAACAGCAACGATAATAACAACGACAGTGACGACGATAGTGATGATAATGATGATGATGATGATGATGATGACGACGACGACGACGACGACGATGATGATGATGATGGTGATGGTGATGATGATGATAATGATGATGACGATGATGATAACACAGTTCGTTCTACAAACTTCTGTGTATTACGTAGCATAGTTGAACTACAAGTTCAACTTGAGAAAGAAATGTATAAAACGGTTGACAGGCTGGCGATTTTCCGTTGCAGGTAAGTCGGTATCTCGATGCTCCGGACATAATCACGGGGAATACGACACCGATAGACCCTGCGATGAAACAAAGGCTACTGCGGCATTTGGATAGTTGCGTGTCGGAATTGGACTTGGATCTGGGTTCGAGGCCGGATAGCGGATTAGGCAGCAGTCCCGGAAGCGTGACGGATCGAGTGACAGGTTCGGCAAGTCCCGGTCCGTTGGAGCATCATGTGCCATCGAGCGCGCACTGTAGTACAACTTTGAATCCGGTCGGCTTGATAAAAGCCGAAATCCCGGATATCGAGCCGGCCCGGCCGGACAGTAGTACTACTGCCGGCGATGAAAACAACAATAATAGCAACAGCAGTAGCAACGGCAACAGCCGGCCAACTTCTGCTTTCGGTCAAGTCAATACGACCAACCTTGATTCTCATCATCATCCACCTCCGCCTCCTCCGCCTGGTATATCGGTTATCGATCAGGCGTCAACCAGTTCGCAACAAAACCCAAACATGCTGTCGGTCGTGCAAGTGATACCATCCAGATTGCCGGACGGTCAAGTAGTTTTTCTTCTTCCCAGTCATTACGTTCAGCTCGCAGCTGCGGCTGCGGCGAACGGTATCAGTATCGGGCCGAATCCACCGACGGCCATATGGGCCGCAACCAATATGTCTTTTCTCAAGGCGACGGATAAATTGGCCGCGAAACGACCGCACGAGGATATACAGGAGTGGCAGGACGCGGCGACCGTTGCTGTCAATGCTGCTGCTGCTGCTGCTGCTGTTGCCGCTACTGTTGCCGCTGCCGCTACGTCCGGCAACGCTTCTGTTTCCGCTTCCATTTCCGCTTCCGCCCCCGTTTCTACCTTTGCTACCAATGCGATCTCAGCCATTGGTTCCAAGCCAAGTAAGAGTCTGCGACTCGAGCAGCCGGAACAACCGCTTGACTTTACAACTACCTCGAAGAAACCAAAATCTAGCTCCAGAACCTCGACACCAGCCGTCGGTAACGTCGATCATCATCTCCAGCAGCAGCAGCAACAACAACAACAACAACAACAACAACAACATCACCAACCACACCAACAACAACAACAACAACAACAACAATTTGTAGGTCGTTCGGCTACGGAACCAGCGATTCCACCGCACACGGATGATAGACCGTCCAGTCGCACGAGTAGCGAGCTCGTCACCGGCATTCGTTCGCCTTCGCCTCTTCCTCAGCAATCTGCGAAAGACGAAGAAGGAATGTGGAGGCCTTGGTAGACAGAAGATTATCACGCTCGTCACTCAACCCGTTCCGTTGCCAGAAAATCCAGAAAATCTACCCAATCTATTGTCTACGAAAATACCACGCGAATAAAAATATGTACATGCTATTCTATCGAAACTGTATAGTTGTTGGACAATGGAACACGAGTTCCAGAATATTTTCTACATCTAAAATAAGGCACGATATATATAAGACGCGCTGTATATTGTATTTTCTGAATGGTGTAAGAGTGGAAATGAGTCTCTTTGAGTCGACACGTACTCCCTCACGTAGTCCTCACGTAGTCCTCGCGTCGTCGAATCGAACATCGAACAGAGTTCGTTGACAAGGACGACGAAGGCTGGCACGATTCTTACGATTGACATTGTGCGTCATACAATCGTAATGTAATCGATAAAGAAACAATTGGCATGTTGATCCGTGAAAAGTAATTATTTACTTTAGCATCAGTGTCCTAATAAAAAAGAATGCACTTGCTACTTGGATGTACGAATTATTATAGTAGAGGTTTATTTCAACACTGTCGTTATTCGTCCGTTTGGTGCAAGGAGTGCCTAATTGAGGAGAAGCGTAAAAAAGAAAAAAAAAAAAAAAAAAAAAAAAAAAAGAGAGAAAAGGACATGGCGTTAAATCGCCGGCGTATTACGGGGATTTGAAAAACGTTACCTGTACGAAACGTTCAAATGTAACAGCACATGTGTGTATAGTACGGTAGTATGTATATGAAAAAGATCTAACACGTTGCAAGATCGGAGTAACGAAAATGGTTTCGCGCTATAGTACTTTTATTCCGCCGTCGTGTACATAACCCCGATTGGAATTACAATGAATGCCAGATATAGATTTATTTTGATGTTAACTAGGTGTATATGCGTACGAGACACGTAGAGAGAATGAAGCGAGTGAAAATGAATGCGCGCTAATGAGAAGACGTCAGTTCACGTTCTAGATGAATCACAGTTTTCATCTGATCTACTTCTGTAATTGCTACGTTGAGATTCAAGAATCCTTAATCAATGTACTTAGACATCGGTCAATATAAATATCCATACTGACGAGTTATTAACCTTTTCCTCACTACCTCTTCACGTTCAAATCTAGCCTCGAGATTTACATACAGGGTGTCCATAAAGTCTCTTTACAACTTCAAAAATTTATTACAAAGGCAAATGAAAAGAGAGATAAGTGGAAGTTATTACAAAATGAGACGTATATATCTAAGTTTCTTCTGCCTCATTTCACAATACACCTCTATATGGGCAACATTAGTTGCACATCAAGCACATCAAGACGATACTCGATTTATTGCCATATTCGCTGTAGCATTGTTCGATACGCGATATCTTTAACATAACCCCATACGAGTGTCCATAAAGTCTCTTTACAATTTCAAAAATTTATTACAAGAAGACAGGAAGACAAGAGACCGTAACAAATAGCCAATCTTTTAACAATCACTAAGGAAATTTGTAACAATCGTTAGGGATATATACAACAGTCACCAAGGAGATATTATTACAGAGTCGTCAAGTAATCAAAATGAAGAGAGTTTGAGCATGGAGAGTGGTTGAGTTAATTCGCCGCAATTATATGTTGTATAAGAATGTATATTTTTTTTTTTTTTTTTTTTTGTTACGTACATATTGTTTAATATACGGTCTAAAAATAAAATACGGAGTTATTCTTTCTCTCTGTAGTACGGTGATTGTACTGAGTTACCAATCATCGTCCCTACAGACATTGAAATGCTAGCGTCGCATAGCGATGAAATGGCAAACTAAAATATGTTGCTTTCCTTGTCGCACAATATATCCCTCTTTGTCTTGCGCGCGTATGTATCACTGTCTTTATCTCTTAATATATCTTTCCTTGTTTAGCGCGTGCACGTATCTCTGTTCTTGTCGCACGCTATTGCTTTCTTTGTCTATAAACACCCAGGTGCTGCCATCTATCTGATTTTTCCAATTTACCCTTTTAGTTCCAACGAAAACTAAACTGACTCAGATGGCAGCACCAACTAGAGAAAGAACGCAATACTGTGCGACAAGGACAGAAATAGCAATTAGTTTCACCGTTTCACCGCAACGCGGCGCTAGCATTTCAATGTCTGTAGCGACCTCTACTTCGAAGAATTTAGATCAACGACATCTATGTTCCGTCGAGATGTGTATTTAATATAAACAATAGAATATTTAAAAATAGCTATTAATTTCATTATCACCAAGTGTCTACTGACACTTATATACATTGTAGTCATAGTAGAAATTCTTCATTCGTTATTTCGTCATTTAACTTCCATTATGTAATCTTCATTAAATTATTAGTAATTGTATATTTTGTGATATTGATAATATTTTTATATAAAAAATTGATTAAAATTGATTACGGAGTTATTATTTATTTATAGTATTGTGATATAAATATAAATTATCATAATCACTATATGTCTGTAACGACCGTTACCACGTCAAAATTGAAATCAGCGCCATCTATGACAAAACAATCGTTCTGTCGAAAAGTACGTTTCCTATAAACCGACATCGCCAACTGTACAAACACTCTTAACATAAGAACATTTATAAGTTGTTATTTTATTTTTATTATTACTATGGAGATGTTTATACCATGTTTACTTATTTACAGAAATGTATGTATAGACAGTTAACCAACTTACAAAAGAAATTAAATGGATACCCAGCGAAACCGTCCTAATCACTTTTGAAGTGTCCGCACTACCGGAAAAAATTCAGTTATACGGATTGCTTCAAAAAACAATTACACCTTACATCGAACCAGTAAAAACGTGCAGAAACTGTTTCAGTTTCGGACACGTCAAAAAATTTTGCAGGAGCCTGAAAACCTGCATTAACCAACAGGAGATAATCCACATAACTGCCACGAACTAGCAAAAAAATGCCTACACTGCCCACAAGGTTATTTCATCTTCGATACTCCCATCGCTGATTCTTCGCACATTCAAAAAAGAAATATATTAAGACTCCTACCACGCATGGAAAGAAAAAGCGTCACCCACCCATAACGCCCCCCCTAAAGGAAAAAATACTTCGAAATCTTCCTCTCTCTCCAAAATAAATCCTTGATTCCACTACAAACTACCCAGACAACTCATAACTTGGATAAACAAAGCGTGCTCAGGACACCACAGCCTAAATGCTTCTCTCTTCAAATCCAAGTTAACACCGGCACCCAACTGCCAATGTGGCTCAGACAACTCTGGCAGTGCCATCTCTACGAACGAGGAAGAAACACCATGACCAACCGCCTTCAACAAAATTTGATGGCAGTTCCCTCTAACAATAGATTGCATCATCGCCAACCCAAAACTCAGAGACAGCTTCACAAACAGCGCATTTCTTCGCAACATGTCTATATAACGGACACTTGAACACGAAATACACCACAAAAAACACACACACAACTACTCAAAACAACCATACTAAACATCCTCTCCTACATCACATGCACGCACACATGATCAAAAACTCTCACACAACTAACACAAAAAGAACCCAACACCGATCCAACACATTAACACTCTAAATATGTAACAACCAAACCTATAGGCTAAAAATGTAAAACCTACGGTTTTAAATTTTTTCAATAAATTTCAATTTCATTTTTTTCAATTACGAAATAAACTAATTTAGGGGATTAATTTGTGAACTTTTGCGATCGCGCCTTCTTTCTTCCTGCGTGTGTACCAAATTTTAAGATTTTTAAGATTTATTAGTATGAGTAGTGAAATGCTAGCTGGCGCCACCATGTCCAAAAAAACCGGCAATTCACACTAAAGGCAATTAATTAATTAATTTCATAACAAATCAGTACAATATTTTGCAGAGTGTTTTTGTGGGTTGAAACTTTAATTTAATTTCTGGGTAGTTTAAAAATTTGGTTCTTAGATTGATAAAATTTGTTTTCCTAGTCATACAATGAAGAGGTTAGCTCCACTTTCACAAATTTTCATTTGTAAAAGAATTAATTAAACAGATTAGTATATAAACTGTACGACTTGCGAATCGTACTTCATGAAAGTGCAAATAACGTGATTTTCGATTCTGTGCCTTGTTTCATTAAAGTTTTCTTTAAATTTTTATTACTCTCTGAATGATGTAACGTGTCTGAGAAGAATATAGAAATTATGTAAAAAAAAATACACAAGTTTTGAATGTAAATTTTTATTTAATCAATTAATGTAAATTTTTATGTAATCAATTAATTACTAATCAATTAATTAACAATTGCTACATATCTTGCTACTTCAGTACTTTATACAGAATTCATATATTAACTTTTTCAATTTGATAATTACGTACGTATTTTTGTAATTTAGTAAGCAAAAAACAAATACAGTGTGTAGAACATGTACATGTATAAGAATAAAGTTTTATAAATATAGATTTGACCCCAAATTAAAGGCTCTTAATATCAATTGTACGTATAAAATGACAAATACATGAAATACAAAAGGGATACTTTACTTGAATGAATGTTACTCTTGGTACGTTAGAAGAATTGACACTGTCCTAGTATAAGAATCAAGATACTGCCTATGCTGAGTAGGAGACAAAGATATCTACCTGTAATTGGTACTCTAAATAGTCTGGCGTTCATTTTCAACGATGATGTGTATAAAAGTATGGTATCAAGATCTTCGCCAGGTGTACTCTGATGGACGAATGGTCGAATGCGCACTTCGTGTCCTATACTTCGAATCATAGAACAAGCATTTGTTAAGCGAGCTGCCTATGAAAAAATAATAGATTATTAGTTTAAATTTATGTTTTTGTACTTCGAATTTTTAGACATTTAAAACGTATAATTATCAAATATCAAAAAATATTCATTTTGGAGAAGCTACAAAAGAAAATGTGATAAATTCATTTCTCACATTTCTAATAAGTTGATTTTCTTATTTTTAATAGTTGGAGAAACATATTTTAATACGTAATAATTATGAAACCGTATAATTTGATGAATTTCAAAGGTATAAGTTTTTCGAAGCTAAACGATAAATATATAATATTGGTTTGTAAGAAACAAATAATGTTAGTTTGCGATGATGTGATGTTTAATCTAATTAATATAAGTCCGATAACTAATGCGTTCAAAAAAGTAACAAGATAATTATAACAGACATACCTGGATAAAAGGAACTATTGATATTAAAATCCAAAGAATTACGTTTATTGTTTCAATCCATGTGACAGGATTAGTTTGTATATCGCTGTTATCATATCGGAATAACCAAATGATGCCTGCTGCAGCCCATGATAAATTTACAACCGTGTAAATGCATACAGCTGGCCCTAAATCGTCGTTGAAATATTTCAATAGTTTTCTAAATTCACTAATTTCCTGTAACATAAGAAGTAATAGACACAATTTTGGCTTTCTGTCTTTTACGTACTTCTTTTCCTCTCTTTATTGATAACAGTTAGTGGCACAATTGTATAGAAGTCAAATTACAAACCTTCATCCAATCTGTAGGAGGTAAAATATGGTGAAGTAATTTTTCATGTAGAGAATACAGATGCGCCAGTAAAAGTTGACCTTGTAAGCAGTAACTAGTTATAATTGTTCCTTGAACCATATCGTGCCATAATGTGCATATGATTAAAAGTACCTTCAATATTATTTTTACTTGACTATACAAAAAATAAATTTGTAAGAAATATGTGAAATTTAATATGGTTCAGTGAAAAAAGAAAAAAAATAACGAATTAATGTTAAGTAACTTGCCTATGTTCTAACCATTGAAATACAATGCTTTCTTGAGCCATCAACACATTTACTGTAACCATGTTGATAATTATCCATACAAGGCTCAATGCTATGAAAAACCACAATATTCGTACAAGTCTTCTTTGATTTCCATGGTTTACAGAATTAGAAGACAGAAGGAATGCTCGTTCCATTAAATTTTGCAATTTTTCATTTTCTTTAATTCGAAACAGATATACTGTATATACGTATGCAACTAAATGTAAAATACTAGGAATCAGATAACTAAATATAACATTTCCAAAACAAATAATTTCTTTTGAACTTTCCTCATTGATGCTGGATGTAAGTTGAAACTTCAAAGGCGTTGTTTTATAACACAAACCTCTGTCTCTTCTAGAAAACCGATTGTACTTGATAATAGCTATATTGAAAGTATTGTATCAAATGTTATTACCTAAAACATGCCATGTATTGCAGTATATATCCAATACACATAAATATTGCAACTTGACAAGTATGAAGATTTGCAAAAATACAGTAACAAGTGCATCGTTGCGAATCATCATTGCTTATTGGTTTTAAACCTATTACTCCTAATAGTCTCAGATATGGCCTTAAAATTTTATGTTCACAATAATAAAGTACTGCTGATGTATTCGCCATTTCAAAATCTGGCATTTCTGTAATTTCAACAATCTATTGTGAAATAAAAAAAAAAGGGCATGTAAGTTACACGAGTCTATTGAGAAGAAAAATGCTAAATAGTCTTACCTCTGTACTTTGCATACGTAAATCTGATAATCTAGATCGTATAGATTCCGGAATTCCTTCTTCATGGTTTTGCTGAGGAGGGTCCTTTCCATTCTTTAATTCATTACTGTTTGCCTATAAACAACAATTGGATTAGAATGTAATTAAAATGTACAATTTTATTAAAAATTTTACTTTTTTTAATAACGATTTAATATCATAGATGGAAATCATAGATGAAACAGATCTTATACTCCGTCAGGAAAGCACTAAATTGTAGTTGTGAATTATTTGTATGTAAACATAGATTCTCAAAATCAAAATAAACACTAATTAATATAATGAGCACTTCAAGCAAATATGTTTATTTTTAAATTTTTAAAATTAAAATTCGATAATAAATAAATTAATAGCATTACAAATAAATAAATTAATAGCATATCACATGATTAGTGGTATGTAACTAGTAGAAATAAAAAATTAAATGAAATAGAATGTAAAACTTACTAATGTCATTTTTTTCGACAATGGGTAGAATACTTTTGAACTTGAAAAGAAAACATTTGTATCGATACTCCGTGTGATTCACCCTAACGTATGTTATATCGCTCTTTTGAGATGACACTTCACCTCTGTCAAGATATCCATACACACATCGCGTCGAAATACAGCAATTTATTTGCGGTACAATCAATTTCTAATACGGGGCGATGAAGCAAAGGAATATGACGATTTATTCTTCAGAATATAATAAATAATAGCGATGTAAAAATATTGTTTATTCTCTAGAAGAATTTAACAGATTAAATACAGCCTTCAATATTAACGTCTCTTTTTGTATAAATTTCCTACTGGTCTTAATAAGTGTTTGTATTCTTTCCCATGTCTCTTCACCTGCAATTTTCTTCCTCTTCTTGCCTGTTTCTGTAAATGTAAAAAATATAAAAGAATATATATATTACACATGCTTTACGTGCGCGCGTGTGATGTTTATAACACATATGCACCTTTTCAATAATGAAAGTCATTTCTCTGTTACCGCGAGAACTAGACATTTTAAGACCCTCATTTTCATTTTTTCTCAGTCTCTCTCCCAAAGTAGCTCTGAAAAATCAAAGAAATTAACAAACTAATTCAAGTAGATTTAAGATATTTTTCGACTATCTATATAACGTACTTGCTTTGTTTTTTTGCTATTGGCCTTGCATCTTTGAATTCTACATGTTCTTTGATTTCATAGAATTGAGGCTCGTTCTTAACAAGTTCGTTTGTATCTGTCATACTTTCATTATTTTCTTGTGTTTGTCTTTCATTCTTTTTTATCAATCGGTATTGGTTTTTCACTTCCTTAACCCATTGTTTTTCGTCTTCTGAACTGCTATCATCATGAATAAAGCTTTCGTCTGAGCTGTTATCTAAAAATATAAATCTTATCATTAAATAAATTCAACATATATATATATATATATATAAATATACGGATATTTGTAAGACCATGTTCATCTTCCGTGTGATCGATTTCAATTTTTTCTTTCATTTCTTCCTCATCTGCTTTGACTTTCAACTTCTTCATTTTGTGTTTGTTAAGTTGTGAAATAACAGGATTTAACAACGTATATTCTGCCGAATTTTTGTCCACTTGGAAATCTGGATTAGTAAACAGTTGTTTAAAACGTTCATCCGTTAACAGAGTAGAGGAATTCTTTTTCTTCTTTTTTGCATTTGTCTCGTTATCCATCAACTTCAATGCGAGTTCTTTATTTACACTCGGTACTTTTTGAATCTGTAAAAATATATAATGAATATATACATAAAGAATCTCATATACGATATTCCATAAGATAACATTATAAAATAATGAAATATGCAATACCTGTACTCTACTACCACGAATTTCTTCTATTTTTTGCTGAATTTTCTTCTTTTTATATTGTTCAAATTCAAACGGTTTCATTACATCTCTTGCTTTCCTATATAATCGAATGTCCATAAAATAGCCATGCATGTAGGCCCTAAGAAGATTAGTACCTTTCAAATGCGAAAGACTTAATTCTTCTAGCTCTTTTTCAGTTACAAATTTATAATCATCATAAATGATTTCGTAATTTAATTCTTCCAATTCTTCTGTTAGATTATCCAGAAAACTGCACCAATAGGGAGCTGGACCAAGGGAAGGAATGTAAAACGTTTGCATCTTTGTATTTTCATTGGCAATTAAAAGCATTCCAGTGTTTGGTATGACACACATATCATTAAAATCGTGCTGCGCTTCTATGGACGTATACAATTTACCCTGTAAAATATCGTTTCAAAGTATTCAAACGTATTCAAACCATATTGCCATTATTATCTGTTTTTTTCATTTATCGACTCATAAATTTTATTTACATTATTCCTTTCCCATATCTTCACGATAGAACTATCCATGGAATAGACCATATCCATTGTTTGATGAAATTCAACATTTTTAATAGGCAGTCCATACATGTGATCTTTTATTAAAAATGGTTTACTGGAACGAATATCGTACAATAATATTTGTCCAGTTGATGTGCCTACTCCAAGTGTTAAACCCGCTTGATATTTTAAACTAGTAATGGCAGGAACTTTTTCTAATCTTAATAATAATAATAAATAATAAAATAAATACTGTGAAAATTTTACTGGTGCATTACAGTACAGTATCTTGTCTTACTTGTTGTTTTCTCCAACACAATGTAAAGCACAATCTAAAGTACCAACTCTGTTTCTGACTCGAGGATCCCAAGCTTCTATCTTTCCCTCTTCTGTTCCAATAGTAAGAAGATGATGAACTGAATTGATTTCACACTTATTTACAGACGATGCCTCTGTCAAGAAGGACTGCAGAAATTGTCCTCTTTCAAGATTTATTCTGTAAATCTCGCTACTGTAACATAATACGGACTAATGAAAGTAAATTTTATATATTCGCAATTTTAATTAAAGACTACAGTTGAAGAGATTATGCACTACACCTATCTCCCACTACAAAAAGATCACAAGATGGATAATGATATTTTAGATCTCTTCCAAAACGAGGTACTCTGAGTATGTAATATTTTCCATATGCAACATGAAACTCGACACTTCGGTCGCAGCGCAGAAATGCCAACTGAAACGTAAAAGAATTAAACGTTAAATTCAATTATACAATAAAAATTTTATATACACATTACTGTATAGACAATTCAAATACATTTACATACTTTGCTATAATCATCCGATAATATGTCAAATGCAGCAACTTCAGAGTCAAAACATCTTTCAAACTTCAAAGACAGGTTCTTTACATCAAAACATTTTACACGTGGCTTATATATACCTGTCGCTAATATATATTGTCCATCATTTGTAACTTTGATAGAAGTGCTGATGCCAGGCATGTCAAAATCTTGGATAAGTTCAATTCGACGTCGAATATCTATTAAAATAATATCGTGATTTACATATAACACTTACATATGATATTATTAAATTTACTACCAGATATTTCGCAATTTCTCTTACCGACATTTTTCTTCAGTAAGCTACGCCTTTTGCGTTCAGTCAACCACTAACGAAAATTAAACGATGAAAAATTAATGAAATAAAAATATATACGTACAAGAACATTCATAATGTAACAAGTAGATAATTACCTCCGGCAGAGACTTTCCAGCGCTTAAATTATATATTTTTACATCGTTCGGGCAAGATACTTGCATTTTGAAAATGGAGATATACCAAAATGTTAAATTATATCGAATTTGCCACTCATATTGTTCAAAGTTTATTAAAAGTCAAAATTGTGAACCACGTGCAAACTTATAGATGTACATATCTATATACTCAACGCATATGACAATAGACAAACAAAGAGGTCGCCACGAGCAGTCACATCACGATCGCGATATTCTTTGTACATGCATAATGTAAAAGTTACTAAAACAAATAATGATCAACGAACTTGTAGTTTCTTGTAAAGGCATTTTCATTGCTGTGCTCTTACACCAAAAATGTACAAATCTTCTATCACTGAAAATGTAGAATTTGGACAGTTTGTACACGAGACTGCAAATACAAGAGTTCGAAATCTACGTACGCTACATAATCATAGATTGTAAGAAACATGGAAGCACAGTACGTTTGAGCAGAGAATTTTTTTTCAAAACTATAAAAACGCTGAAAGCAATGAATAACAAAATGTATAAATAAAATAAATTTACGGAGAAAAGAGTAGAGGAGAAGGCGTAATGTAATTTTACGAATACGGACGATTCGCGGAGAGATTTGAATGTATCGATTGGTGAATCCATAGGTTGGCAGAACTGTTCAGTAGTCAATTACCGGCCGGTTATAGAGATAAAGAGAGAGAGAGAGAGAGATAAAGAGAGAGAGAGAGAGAGAGAGAGAGAGAGAGAGAGAGAGAGAGAGAGAGAGAGAGAGAGAGAGAGAGAGAGAGAGAGNTGAGCGAGTGAGAGAGGGAGCGGGAGCGGGTGAGAGCGTGAGTGGGGAGAATACGCGATCATCTTCGCAGCGAAGAGCTTGGTGGGGCGGAGAGGCATCGCTGCGAGCCCCTGGGGGCGGGAAGCGGAGGGGTAAGGAAGAAGTGTGGCCGGCGTTGAGCGCATATAGGTAGTCGTGAGAAGAGCCAGTCAGTGACGGGTTGTGTCTTTGGTGGCGTGGTGAACGATTGAGTCGAGCCGCTTGTGTTAAAAAATGAGCTGGCAAGATTACGTTGACAAGCAGCTGCTCGCATCTAGGTGTGTTACCAAAGCAGCGATTGCGGGACACGATGGCAATCTTTGGGCAAAGTCTGAGGGCTTTGAAGTGAGTATGTCGTTCGACTAACGCCTCGGAAGATTATTATTAGCTAACCGACCGAAGAGGGAAAATATGCACTGGATATAAACTTCGGGAAATTTAAACGTATCATATCGATAGTTAATAGTTTGCATTTCTCGTCTCTTCTCCTCCATTCTCCTTAATTGTCGTTGACTTCGATCGATCCGCTATCGGATATTTTCCTTTAAATCGGTTGTAGAATGTTGCAGCGATTGGCACGTATGTATTGTATTTATTTATTGATGGAATTTCATATCTATTGGTACGACTAAACAACTATCAGTTTCAGCACGTTTCAGTGCTGAATCTTACAGAGTGAGTTTCGCCGTGATAACGTGACAAAAGTATAGGAGGTTTTATCGTGAATAAAAATACTGCCACGTAATCGCCGGCACATTTTGTTCGAATATACGTATATCATCGAGTGTGTAATAAATCGGAAAAATCATTCGAGTTCCGCATGTTGACCCGGCATGGTTGTTCCCTCGTGTTACCGACGCCGGTTAGATACGGTCGTAGTTCGGGATTGAGTTGTCGGATATGGTTGCAACTTGCGTCGACTCGACAAGGATCAGGATTTTCCGTTCGTCAGAAATTTTTGTTGCGAAGGATTTTGTTCGCCACCCAAATATGTCTGCAGCAGGGAACTAGCTGTCGTAGATACGTCGCGTAAATTGGCGAATCGATGGGAAAAACCTAGTCATCGTACGAATCTCGAGTCAGGTTCAGAGGAAAAATTCATTTCGTGTGCTTTCGTGAAGGTATTTTGATAATGATAGGGTGTGGCAATTTTCAACAGAGAAAATTTCGTCTGGTCGAACTTGAACGGTTTTCGACAAAGTTTAATATGGCTGCCTGCCGGGCACGTTGCCGCTGCCGCCCATGGAGAAATGGTCGCTCCTATTCTCCTTCGCTTCTATTTGTTATCGATTCTGCTCCATCCTTGGTATTTTTTCCGTCACTGACGTTGCACGCCGTTCTCCGCGAACCGAGAAACGAGAAATTTGAACGTTGATGTTCGTTACAAAGCATGACTCATTTCTTCGGAAGCGATCCTCTGTTATCGAAAGTCGTACGCTGTGACGCCTACGTGTATCTTCGATGTATCAACCTTTTCTATCTCTCTTCTTTGTCTCTTTCTGTTAAAATTCTGTTAAAATCGATATCTGAGAAATTACTTGAGGAAAAAAGAAAAAAGAGAAAAGAAAGAAAAGAAAAGAGAAACATGAGGAGTATTTTTGCACTCCATAATAAAGATTTTGTTGCATGTGTTGTACGTCGTGTTTAGATATTCGAGCAGTTTGAATTTTTGAAGTACCGTTGTCTGGAAAGTTGTGATGTGTATTCAATGTATAACAGAATTACCCTAGTTGTTGTATTATTTTTTCTTCTCTTTACCAACGTTTCAAGTAAAATCGTTTAATGTCATAAAAAACGATCGGAGACAGTTCTAGAAAAGTTGGACTCGATCGACGCGCCATCCACGTTGCATTTAAAAAGCTCTTGTGAATCGTGTCGGTAAATTCTAAGGATCTCGAATTGGATAACGCATGCGACGTTATTAATGTGTGAAATGAAATGATGGTAGGAGGCGCGGTTGGAAATGTTGGTTAGAACAAAAGGGTTGTCTCCTCTAGACATGCGTGCGATATATTCTTTGTGCGCGCATATGTACAACTGCAGAATTATTTTTCAAAAAGACATCTTCTCATTTCCGTCAATCAGTTGACGATACGTCGTTTAATATATTGTTTGCAAAATGTAGTTACGAATCGTGGCGAATATTTCGAGGTATTTTTAGAGCGCGCATGATTTGCAAAGGGTAAAGTTACATCTCTCCTGGTGTTCCCAAGAAAGAAAAGCGAGGCAGAAGCGTAGCGCGCGTTCGGTTACAAGGTAAAGCGGTTCTTTCTCGGGTTCGAAGAAAGGTTTTACGCTACGGAGAGAGAGACAGTGAAATGTATAGATAAAGGTCGCCAGCTGCACTGTGGCCTCGCGCGTGCACACACACACACACCACACACATACACACTTACTTTCTGCCTACGAATGCCAAAATGGCGATGCCGGCCGGGCAGCAACCTCCCTCAGTGCCGTACCCTGTATTCACGAAAAAAAGGGTCATTTTGGCGCCCGATTAAATTTTCCGTCGAATCTTTCTCTTTCACTTTACAGTTGCTATCTCGATCCTATTTTATTTCACCATGTTACCTGTCTCGAAAATAAACAATATCTTTGATGAAAAAATAAAGCAAAATGATGTATATGCGTGTAAAGCAAGGGTTAGATCGCCGCGGATGAATTATCACGAAATTACAGATAACAGCGGTGGTGTTCGAATTAAATCTGAAACTGTCGTTTCGGGTTATTTTCAAACGCGAAAATGTCACGAGGTTCTCGGTGCACGGTGACGGCGCGCGAATCCTTTCTCGGAGTAATTATACTTTGTGGAAATTGCAGTAGATTTTGGCGCAAGGTAGGATTACGAATGATGCCTGATTTAATGCAGGATAATTTCGGACAACCTTGACGCTTGATATTCGATTACGACGATCGTTGAATGTGTCGTCTCTTTGCAGAAAATGTAAATAAAATAAGAAAGTAAAAACTAATGAAAAATATTGATTAAATCAGCGAAGAGCATTTTACAAAAGCATTGTAAAAATAGTTGACATTTTTGAGTATAGTAGCTCGTCGTTACGAGCGATGATTGTGTACTTGTATGATGCGATCGTTGGATCATTTCGTTAAACAAAAATGATTATAGATACAGGCATGTTTTCTACGCATCTATATCCGATATAAGTAATATCGCAAGAACAACTGATTAATCCGTCTTATCATAATTACTAGATTTCTTTTTTTATCTGATGAAAAGCCGTCAATACCATATGATTTTAATAGATTGATAAAGTCTGTATTGTATACCATATTGTATTGTATTGTATTGTACAAGAAATTTGTGTTACATATTACAGGTTAATGTTTACTTTATTTGCCAAGTGTAGTTTTAAACAGACTTTTACAAAGACGAAAATAATTGACAATTGTACAAAGATGGAAATAATTTGTGTGCGTAGGTAAGTAAAGAGGAGTTGACAAAATTGGTCCAGGGATTCGACGAGCAGGATATTCTAACGTCGTCGGGCGTCACCTTGGCCGGCAACAGGTACATTTATCTGTCAGGTACGGATCGAGTGATAAGGGCAAAGCTTGGTAAAGTTGGCGTCCACTGCATGAAGACGACGCAAGCGGTAGTTGTCTCACTGTACGAAGATCCTATACAACCACAACAAGCCGCATCGGTCGTTGAAAAACTCGGGGACTACCTTGTGTCCTGCGGCTATTAGGTTGGTATATACGCACGTATGTATCATTCGAGTTGCGCGTTATCCTTGGTCCCTCGAACATTAAATCTTTGTCACGTCTCTGTGCAATAGTCACCACGATATGGGTTGTGTCGGGATGATTGATTGAAGCATCGAGTAGCAGCACCCGGAATTGATAACACGCCGAATCGATCGGAATAGATCTGCATCGGAAACGGCGTTCTACGCTTCTCGATAGAAAAATTCGAAGTAAAGCTAAAGGTATACTTTGTACGACCCTCACCTTACGTGTATCGTCCTTCTATCTCATTACGTATATTATTCGTTAGTTAGTTCGATCGATGTTCGATCACCGACCAACGTTGCATCGTGGCTTCTTTGTATCGTGATGGCTACTGTACGAATATATTCATATTTTCAACACTGAAAAATAGTTCTGAATGCCACGTGATCCTGAAAAAAAAAAAAAAAAAAAAAAAAGAAAAGAAAAAAACTGTCCCAGTCGAACGGGGTAGGAAACGGAGTAAGAAATCCAAAGATTTCTGAGCGTACACGAAACAGGCACACGCATAAGTGAGTCATTCTCGCATAATTTCAGTCGACCACTTTGGCTCGATGTATCAGTTTGCCACGATGACTAATCACGAACTTGCGCACGTCCCTCGTGCTCGGATCGCGCGCACATGCTGAAAAGCACGGATATATATTTTATTCGCTAGCGAAGGAACAGAGAACGCGTACGCTCTTGTTTGGACATTTGGACTATTATAGATACGTATCTACGTTCTTGAGAAAAAGAAGGAAAAGACAGACATTCTACGTACATTTGATTCAAAGATTTCTTCAAAGATGAAGTGGCGCGTCACCAATTTTGTATTATTTAAAAATTTGTTGTCTGTTCTGTGGCATCGTGTAGGTCTTTCCCACGCGTTTCCTCCTGGCCGCCCTCTTTCTTCCCCTTTCCTCTTTCGTACACTACGACTAATTGCGGCATTCGTACAGCAATATTAACAACGGGACCCTTTCCATTTATTTTTTTTTGTTTCAGTAACCTCTGGGACCCAACATAAATATCTAATATTAATATTAAACGATACGATCGATTATTTTAATGAACAGCGAGTGGAATGCGTCATGCCGCGCCGGAACTGCCGCAAGCTTGCCGCGCGACATTCGATGAAAAGCAACAACTACATCAGCAACAACACTAGCAACACAGCTATCATATTCCAGTCGTCGTTCTCTCCTCTTCGATTCGGCCGATCAACGTTCGGGGAACAGACGCATGCGCTCACGTGCGCGCAATAACTTCCGAAAAAAGGCTTTTTAGGCATTTATTTGGAAAATGATCGCGCAAATTGTAATCGACGAAGTGCGGTCTTTTCTTTGTTTTTCGGTTCGGTTCGACGTAGCACCTGTGTTTTGAATTTTTATATCCGTTTGTGTATTCACGATCGAGATAATGTGTCGGTACTATAACGACAGAAATTTCAGAAGCTCCGGGAAAAGAAAAAAGAAAACAACAAACACGCTTTTTTACAATTGAATAATAAAACAAAAAATTATGAACCGCAAATACCATGCTGTTTTACATTTATACGCACCATAACAAAAGAATTCTCACCTGAGAAGTGATAATGATATAGTGAATCGGGGATGAATCAAACTAGGAGAAAAAAAAGCATCCTTCATTTGCGAACGATCGGATCGATCGATTTGTCGACGGAGAGAAAAAATACACAAGAAGCATGCATTAAGTATAAGAAATACTGATAATAAATAATAGTAAACTATTGCGTGTTAGGTTTACAGTCTTTTGTAGAGAATGTTAGAGACAGAGAGAAAGAGAGTGTGCGATAGAGGAGAAGAATGAAAGACAAAGAAAGCGAGTGAGCGAGCGAGCGAGCGAGCGCGAGAGAGAACGCTAGAGAAAGATGGATGGAGTGGAAGAAGAAGTAAAGGTGAAGAAAGGGCGTGAAAGAGAAAATGAATAATCAAGAAGCAACTAACGAGTTAGAGAGAGCAAGTGTGCAAGTAAGAATAACGAGGGAAATGGGGGAGAATGCGAATGAAAAGATTGGTTTCAAGGATTGAAGAGCAAGAGAAAAACAGGAAAAAGAGAGAATCTGGAAGCGCAATAGAAGTACAACACCGATGATTAGATAAAAAAAAAAAAAAAAAAAAACAGAAACACAAGGATGAAAAAATAACAGCGACTACAGTTGATGAGAGACAGTTGACAGTTGACGGTGACGGTGACGGTGACGGTGACGGTGACGGTGACGGTGACGATGACGATGACGATGACGTTGCGGACGATGCAGGCAAACGTGCGGCAGAGGATGAAAGGCATGGATTGATTGTAATCCTGGCCAGCCCCTTCCTCCCCTCTACCCTGATCGATACAACCTTTTTAACTATTTACTCTCTTTAATATTGCTATGTGTAAGAAAACTACAACAAATCGAGGGATGTGTCATTTATTGATAAGAGAAAGAAATAGAGAATGGAACGGGTGGTGAGAATTTGGAGGAGAGAGAGAGAGAGAGAGAGAGAGAGAGAGAGAGAGAGTCGCAAGGTGTACACCAAGATAATATAAATATATAAATATGAACGCGCGTGGCATGCATACATAACAGAAACACGATCGCGAAAGTTGAAAGATGGAACTGTACACGGAACAGGAACATCAGTCGATTTATCAAATTTTTACATTTTCATTTACTTTCCCGCATCTCTTTCTTTTCTTCCATACGATCAGTGTTTCTATATAATGATATAAACGAATTATCAAAGATAATCTTAAGTTCAATATATAGATCTACTGAAATATTTAAATATCAAAATACAGATTTGAATTTAGATTAAACAAATTCGGAGAAGCGACGAATATTTCCTTGGCCGTGTAAACGTTTCTCGTTCGATTAGCGCAGATCTTGTATAACTGAGAGGGACACCCCCGCAGTCGTACACAAACGCACACACACATACATACACATTTAATACACGATACCGCTATCATTTATTATTACTGTAATATTACTGCTACTATTATTACTATAACTGGTTGCTTGTCGATTCGGCTGGCGTCAAGCAGCAATCCAAACTACTATGTAACGATTTTTATTGATAACAAAATAAGGAATAAACATTGAAGTAATAATTGTAATAAAAAGGTAACTCCCAGGCGTCGTTGAAATATTCGAATCCGCCTCACGTCTTTAGCTTTTCCTTTTTTGTTTAGAAAAGGAACATATATATATATATATATATATATATATACATAGTTATATATACTCTTTTCGTTTTATGGAAAAAAGAAATCTTCGTTCTCGTTATGCCGATGGTGTAACGAGTTGCATATATTTTTTCGTGTTTTATCGAAACTCGATCAAACTTAATGGCCGATAAAAGTAATTTTGACTTTTTGGAAAAAATATGTAAACTGGAAGATATAATCAATGTTTATGATTCATGGAAGTGACAGAAAACAAAAGCGGGTGGGATGGGGGGTGAGTGAGGATGGTGCGTGCGCGTCGAGTAGGCGCGCGCGCGCGCGTGTGTCTGTGCGCATGAGAGATAGAGTGATAGAGAAAGAGAAAGAGAGAGAGAGAAAGGGCTACATTTGATTGGTTAAAATTAGATATATAACTTTGTAAAGCTGATATATACTTGCTCTTAAGATTTTTTTGCATATGTCAACAAGAAGATTCTTCTTCGGAACGAATAATGTTTAAGGAAACAATAAATTTGTATAAAGCGGTGTAACGAAACGTCTTTTGTTTTCATTCACCGAAGTAACGTTCGCAATGGAGAAATTTGTCGTGGAATTCTATCGTTCTCGTCACCGGATATATATCTCGCGGCGAACTGTTGATAAAAACCGTGCTCTTCCGACCACGAATAAGATTTCATCACGTGCATTCTCGGTTCTAAACGCGTTTATTTTCATTCCAATATTATTTAACAGGTTAGCGAATCGCACTTACCTGTTCTCTGGAATGGAGATTTAATACAGTGCATATATACAGGATGTTTTATTATTTCTCGTTTTTTTTTTTTTTTTAAGAAGTTGGTGGACTAAAGAGAGAAGAGGATCCTATAAATCGAAAATCAAAAAATAAATATTCGAGCCATCAAACACACAAGAAACTTTAAATATTGTTTTTTATCATTAAATTGCGATACTCGATAGCGATAACTTTTTTTTTTTTTACTGTAATTTTTCTGTAATCGAATTAATTTTCCGCGATAACGCAACTGTTTGTTTAATTGTGTTTTGATGATTTCATTTGAAGAAGAAAAGAAAAAGGAAAAAGGAGGGAACGTACTGCAGAAAATATCTATTTTTAGTGTTTTAACTTGTGAAGTCCTTGACGTTGCTCATCTTGTTGAACGCTCTCAATTTTGAAAAGATCGGAGAATAACGCTGCATATACATATATGTATGTATGTGTGTATGTACGTATGTATATATATATATATATATATATTATATCGTTTCGTTTTAATTTATAAACTGTTGTTTAATTTATTGGTAGATTAGAAGATTAAATAAAACTTTTTACAAAATTATCAAGAAAATTTACATAAAAATCGTTCTCGTTTACTCGCATTGATTTTGTTTCGTCTTAAAAAACATTATCTCTAATTACAGCGAGCGGGATCGCCACATTTTTATATTTTCTATCGATCAACGTCTTATAGCCTACGGTTTTCTTTTTAGATTATTCTTGCAAAATTTATTCGACTTGCTTTTCAGAGTAAATATCGGGTGATTCGGAATCTCTTTTTTGTTGTCATAGATAACGACTAAAGAGATCGGGGGGGGGGGGGGGGGATGATGCGTATAAATCTTTTACAGTGGAGAAAACAATCGTATAGATATAATATACATATATGGACATACAAACAAATGGATGGTTTCGGATGAACGATACATATGCGATACACGGAACTGGAAGGAAAGACTTGGGATCGTAATCGTAATTCACGAAATGTCGTCGATATTAGTACCGAGGCGTCGAGCGCTTAATCGTCGTCCAACGATTTTCCTAATCCTGCTGTACGTGCACTTGCGCTATTCGTTTTATTGCCATCTCGTTCTTTTTAGTACGTTTAATTGTTCTTGTTCTTTCGCGATCAAACGATAAAGCTATCGAATTTGTACTGAAATTTTCTCCTGGTTTGCACATTGGTCTTCTCCTCGGACTTGACCATCCAACGCTGTAATCAATCTAAATCGTTACAACTACGCGAAGCGTACACATGCATACATACATACGTTAAGTACGTATGTATTTACCCGAGTTTGTTTCCTCTTCTGACCCGTTTTTCCCTGGCTGAGTAGTACGCAGGCTCGTTTTCCACTTAGGCAGACCGAAAAGCTATAAGAAGCGATGCGCCCAACGAACCGGTCTTAACATCGTGGCTGCTTAAACACAGCGTGAATTTGACAATAACGTATAAACGGCGAATCGAACGAACTCGTCGAAACGTAATTTGTTCGGTAATTTCGATAACGGCATACACGGTCCTTGTTGTATCAACGTATTGATAATTTTTCGGATACAACAGGAAAATGTGTTCAGAGTAGTAGTTCATGTAAAAACGTACTACCGGTGAGAATGTTTTGATATTTAGCTTTCAAAATGTCTCGTTTGTTGAAAAAGAAGAAACGGTCGTCCGTATTACACGAATATCGTGTAAATACGCTTTTCCTTTCGTATTTGACACACAAGTGAAACGCGAACGAATCGAGTTTCGTCTCGAAACAATTTAAAATCTAAAATCTCGTTTTCCCTCTGATTCTTCGTTACATTCGTTAACAAGTTAAGGTTTTTTTAGGCATTTCTGTGTTTTTCTCCTTTCCAAGGAGAGTGGGGGAGAGGTTCCCACAATTAGCAACGATCATTAGACGATACCGTTCGAAGAAAACAGCGGTTGTTCTGTTGAAATTGACAATAGTGACAAGTGGAGGAGATGATGGTTGGAGAGAGAAAAAGAGAAGAGGAACAGAGGCAAAGAAGAAAACGAAGAAGAAGAAGAAAATGATCGAAGATGATGAAGAGAACATAAGACGCCATTGAAAAAAGTGAGACTGAATGCGTACAAGCCGCACGCGTGTATACGTACACTCGTACGCGAAATAAGATATGTACGTAGCATATAAACGCGCTGGATCGAACGTTTCTGCTTTATAAACGTTCGTTTATAAGTGGCATTGGGTTTAAGAGTAGCGTTAACCTTTATTAGATTACCTTTAAGTTAGAGATTCTTATCAGATAGGTGTGCATGCGTGTCAACGAATGTGCGACAAAGCGGCCAGCGTGCTCTCGAAATTTGTAACTGTAGCGGTAACAGCAACGATAACAGCAGTAGCAGCAACAGCAGTGGTAGCAACAACAGCACGCGGCCGATGCGTATCTCGAATGCCCATCGTTCTCACAGTCCTGACTCGATCATTTCCCGGCGAAACGACGGGAAGATCGCGGAACAGTTTCCTCTCTTCTTACGTTCCATTCTTTTCTTTTCTTTTCTTTTTCTTTTTTCTTTTTTTTCTCATTTTTTTTTTTTTTCTTTCTTTCTTTTCTGTCACGTATCCTGATCACGATTCGCGATCATTATTTACAGGAGTTACTATACATACAGTGTGTAGTAGAGCCGCGTTAAAAATAAATAAATATACATATCACGCAGGAAAAAAGAAAGCGGTGTCGTAACCTACATTACGGTCAAGCGGCATTTGCCATTTCTTATTCTTTCGTTTTCTTCCTTCTTATTTCTTCTTTCCTCTTCCATGAGATTCTACTACAGTCCTTTTATAGCTATATTGGCAATTGGCACGCGTTCGCGCTGAACGATTTTCTTAGACAGAACGATTGAATCAACACTGGAAGGAAAATATTATAGTAGTATAGCGCGCGTCGAACGTCGCGAGTCGCGAACGATACACACACACACACGCGCGCGCGCACAATTACGTTTCAATCATGTTAATTTCATTTATGTAGACAACCTGCAATGCAAACCAACGTGTGAACATTGTTTATCAATGAATTCAACGATTCACAGGGGAATCTTGTTTCCGGATATTTCGAAAGATGACGACGTCGATGCAGACGAACTCGCGTCGTTGGTTGGCACTTGGAAACGAAAACTGGAGAAGAGATTAAGAAATAAAAGAGGAGGGGAACGATCGATCGTTCGACGGGAATTTGTCGTTGACAAAATTCGTAGATGTTAGAAGTTACGTACAAAAATATATAAAGAATCGAAGAAAGAATCGGTCGAACGAATACGCGTTAAGAAATACGATTTCCTATACGTTTCCCCTATATCTTGATCGAGTTTTCGACATACGGCGGAGGCAATCTTTGGTACTGAAGTTATTCTCTTCATTCGAATTGATTTTGTTGACGTTATCTTTTCTTCAATTTCCCATTGAATGTAATTCTTCACGAGAGTTGTCGTTATTATCGTCACCATTTGTGTTACGTTACTGGCTATATAATTTTAATTCTCCTTCCTTCTATATACGTATCATACAGATAGAGGACTATCGATACTAATAAATGAGTAAGTAAGCAAGTAAATTCAACCGTTAATTCGTAATAACATTGATTATATCGTTCCGTAACAACAATGCATTTATCACCTCTGCATTTCATTTGCGTGTTTCAACGTTTCATGCATGCGCGTTGTTATTTTCGTTTTCGTTTTCGTTTTCATTTTCATTTTCACTTTCACTTTCATTTTCATTTTCATTTTCGTAATGTCAGTCCAGGATTAACAATGATAGTAACAATGATCATAACAACTTTACGATAATGATTCAAATAAATAGCAATAGTTATAAATGTTAATAATAAGGATAGGTTCTTTTGGCTCCGTGGATAGCATAGACCCAAACGATCATTGTGTGTCGTGAAAGGTGACTAAATAGAAAAAATTGTAACAATAAAGAGGGGAAAGAGACAAATAAATATACGTAATGAGAATGGTCGTGGCGTTGACAGTATGAATTATATTAAGTTGGTGCACATGAAATGTTGTTCCTTCAAAAGTTCAAGTTTGTCGTAGGTAGCCAGCGCCCGGTCAATTCTGATCTATCGTTAGTGTTAATTAATGCGATTAGAATTATTTGAGAAAAAAAAATAACATAACTTAGTACTTGAAAAAGTTGAAGACAACTACTACTTCATCCAGATAATTTTTTAAAGTGATAAATTACTTTAAAACTTTTAAATAATGAAATCGATCGATGAAGGTACGTCGAATTATGTAAATGCGCATTTGATGAAACGACATTTCTCATGTATTAATCCGACTTAATAAAAAAAAAAAAAAAAAAAAAAAAAAAAAAAACGTGAAACAACGATGAGAATGACAACGATGGCGACGATGATACAGGCAATGACGTAATAAAAATAGTATTTATATGGTAACGTTGAAACTAGAGGGAACGTTTCGTTGGTATAATTACAAATCGTTTGAATAACAATAAATACGTATAGTAAATACAGTGTGACTTCTTTTTACATGAATTTCGTAATTCCACATGCATTCGTCCCCATACGTTTCTTTTCTACGCTCTCCTCTTTCTCTCTATTGCTTGTGCCGTAATAACGTGAGCTAATGAACGCCGTCTAAAGTACACGTATTTAGAAATATACTCGGATACTCGAATACTGGATAAACTTACGGTTTATTTACTCACTCTCTATAAACGTGCTCGCGTACGTCGTGTACAACACACAAGGAAGGAAGATGATCGAAAAGAAAAACGCACAAGATGTTCCGATGCTCATGATCGATCGCGACTCGTCGACCGGACGACCAACCACGATGATCGTCGATCGTCGCTCCTTCTCAATTAGAAAGTCGACTATCGTGTACCGTATTTTGGCATTTGCTAATCGAGCAGCTGCCCGATTCCAATCGACTTCGATTTAACCTTCCACTCCCAGTGAGATTATTACGACTTAATTGGTGGTTACCTCTGTAAAGCAAAAGTTCCTTTCAATCGAAATCCATCCAGCAATTTGGTTAAGCCGTGCGAGATAGCGATTTACCTCTCGAGTCGAAAACTATCGAACGCTTTTACCGCTCGAGACGCGAAACGGAGCGCGCATGCGCGCCTAGAATGCAAACTCGAACTATCTTACCGTTAGAAAATCTCGCTAGTGGCGCTGTGTCGGTCTGTTCTTTTCTTTTTCTTTTCTTTTCTTTTTTTTTTTTCTTTGCGCTTCAAACGCGAATGAAGAAATAATGAAGTAAACGAACGAGCCAACGGAGGACCAACTCAATTTGTGTGCGTTGTTGATCGAATCTTTCAAGTGATCTAACAATAAGTATTTTATGTTTTTCTATGGTTTGTGGATTTAGGGAGACCGATTCGTGATGATCTGATCAACGCCGGCTGGCGATGAAATCGACAAATTCGCGCAACACTTTGCCTCGTTGCTTCTATTCCGCTTCGCGTTGTTCTGCTCGTACGAGCAAACCAATTACGTACGAGAGACGAACGAAACGATTCAGTACGACATCAAACATAATGTAAGGTGATGTAATACAACGTAATTTGATTTGCAGGGTATCTTGTAATTGATGATACAATCACCAGCGAAAGGGTGATTGCCTGTCATGAGAAAATAAATCGGGAACGCAAGTCGAAAAATACAACTATCAAATCTGTGCTCCTTTAAATCATCTTTTGACAAATTGTACTTTTTCCATCGGTGAAACATTTCTTAAATTTAAAGAAAACAATCTCGCAGAGTTAGGTTAGGTGTATCGATCAAGTATTTGAAATTGTCTCAAATCCAAAATCTCGTAAATTTTACTTGATTTTTTCGTACAGAATCACTTGTTTGCTCTTCGTGTCGCAACTTACAAAATACCCTGTATGCATGTCGAAATATAACGAAACGAAAAAAACTGAAACTACTTTTTTTAGGACATAGAGAGAAAAAGAGGGGGAAAGGAGAAGAAAGATAAAGATAGATAGAGACAGACAAAGAGAGAGAGAGAGAGAGAGAGAGAGAGAGAGAAAGTGTGAGAAAAAAAGAAAGCAAAGGGAACTGGAAAAACATAAAATACGCAAAAAGATTTTACCCACGGGCTGACGTATGTAGCTTGTTGGACTCGGAGACCATCGATCAGGCGGAATAAAAGCTCGATGAAATGGACGAAGGAACGCGAATCTTGTCGCTAGTTCTACCACGAAGTGGGACCGAGGCTACTGGACGACGCAGCAGCAAGCACTGTGCGTCAAAGCGCTCGTAGCGACGTGTTGTCGATAATGGTGGTGTTGCCGAGGCGCCTGTCTCTGTCGTTGCTGACCCGTCACCCTACCGCCTAACCTGGGCTATTGGTTCTCCAGCGAATAATGACGCGACCTCTTCCAGAAACCTTTGAAGAATCCTTTCTTCTTCGGCGCGTCGCCGCATTCGGCAGCTGAAACAAAAAAGGTGACGCGGCTCTTTCCTCCATGTCTTTACACCTTCTTATCTGCTACTTCCACATTTGACAGAGTCATCCGCCGATTGTTGTAATAAAATAAAAATTGTCACCTGTTGATTCGATATCAATCACGCGATATAGGTACAGTATCTTATTTATCTTATTTTATATTGTCAACATATACATTGTCTAGTGAGCTGCATATGAGCAAAGCCGCTACTGGATCGACGCGCCAACTGTACCGTGTATTTCAGCCACGTTTTTACTCTCGCTACATGTTAATAGGGGAAGCGTTGGCAATTGTCTGTCGCCTGCATAATAATCGACGGCCTTTCCGGCCTTTCCTTCGAATCGACGACAGACATTAAAGGCCGGCTACAGCTACGTATGATCAACGCGATGCAGCACTGCGCGGCTGATACCTCCCTTCAGTCCTCCCTTGATATACGTTAAATCATTTGTGAAAATCGATACTTGCAAACAATACAAGTTGTTGTATTTATCGTGGCAACAATATTGTTGATCGTATTGTTCTTTTCCGTTGCGTCTGAAGAAGAAAAATAAGAAGGAGACATGGAGAATCGTGGGAGAAAGAAGAGGCAACTCTGTGATGCCAGGAGCCGGAGGAAAGGGATAAAGCGAGCGAAAACGAGAGAACGATGCGTATGGATCAATACCGATAGTGCGCGTAGTAGACGCAAATTGTTGGGTGTGTCTCGTAGTCTCATCTCTATGTTACTCGACTGCCCAAACTGTTCGAATCCAATAGGAATCATACTTCTTGTTACGACTGAGAAATAACGAAAACGAATGAGAATATCTTCCGATATCTTTGTTTAGACTGCCATAGGCAAATGGAATGAAACGTTTTTGTTACGCATCAAGTTCTTCCCTGTCCTTCGCTCTGCTTCTCTTCTTGGTTCAAGAAGAGGTTTCCAAAAATAACCAAAGAGTATTAATAAAATCACCGTTGGCTGTTCAAACTAGAGGCGAACATTGGTAAACTCTTGGTGGAAAGGGAATGGATATTTTGGAATGCCGTGTGTGTACCGGTTATGTTACGTGTGCAAAGATATATGTTTGTGACCGCGCGTACGCGCCTCCCCCTCTCCTCTTCCTCTGCCGACAATAAATTTAAAAAAATTTAAAAGCAAATACAAAGATGAGTGATATAGAACGTAATCGTATCGTATTGTATCGTATCGTACGACACAGTAAAGGTGACAATTTTGCAACTACAATTCTTTTTTTTAATCTGATACAAGCTTTATATTTATATTTACGTGTACTTTTGCTGTCAGATCGAACGGATTAAATATTTTTTAATATAAAACTTTGAATTATATAGGACCTTTGCATATAGGTCCATTTCTGTAAGTTGAACGTAATTTGTTTCCAAAAATAACGAGGGTCTACTTCTTCTCACGAAGCGGCACACTGACGAAAATTTTTTCACGTTTTAGATTGTCGCTAGGCAAGGTCAAGAATGTAAAATACGAACGTACCTGCATAAGGGCCACACGGTGATGCATTGTCTTTTCCACTTTTCCCATCCTTGCTTCCGCTTCCTAAAACAATCGAAAACGAATTTTGTTTTGAGAAAATGGACAATGTTGTTTGTTGGAGTTTTACTGGCCGGCTTAATGAAAAATCACAGGCCACTATGCAAAGCTAGCGAGAAACAAATGCGTTTGAAACACATTGAATATAAAACAAGGGAAACGTGCGTATGCTGGACAAAACGGCTATCGGATGACTCGTATGGCACCGTTTGGAAGTAATCTCCAAGTACGGCGCGTGTCTCCCTTGGAAATTGACCAAATAAAATCGAGCGGTTGCCACATGCCAGGTAAGAATACGACGCAACAAGGACACACTGGTCCTAGCATTTCTAGTTGAAGCTGCCTTTGAGCAGATTACATTAACATCGAGAAAGCGATACTTAATTATCGACACTTGTCACAAGTATATTTCTATTATACCTACATACATACATGTATACAGGGACTTTTGTCAACATTCAGAGTGTTGGATAAATTGTTTCTTTAATAATAACAGTATTATTGAATTAATTTTTTTTTTTTTTTTAATATATTAAGACAATTATTCTAGTTAGTGGAAACATAAATTTTACTTATTCAACATTTGTAGTTTTCTGCGTAAGAAGCAACAAATCAAATAATGGAGAAACTTAAAATCGCAAAGTTCGAATAACGAGCAAAATTACTTTTGTTCTATGTAGTGTCAAGGATTAAATTGAGAGACATACCGAGCAAATATTTCAAATTAATTTTCTTAAAAACGAAACTTCCTGCGAAGAAAATATATTTCTTTCAACTAATTTTGTCGGACAGAATTATCTTTTTTTCTGCTCGTATCGCTATTTACGTGTAAGTCACTCTGTGCGCATGTTATGCGAGTGCCCCCCCCCTCCCCCCCCCCTCCTTCGACATTGCACAATGAAACTCTGAATTTGAAAAAATTTAAATAAGCGAATAAACGACATGAAGAGGATAAGAGTGAAGAAGAAAAGAGACAGCGAGCTAATAAAGAAATTACACCAGTTCGCGAATCGACGAAAAACAGACTGAGAAATTAAAATGCAATAAAGCGCAAGTAGCGCAAACAAACGTACGTTAGGCGATACTTTAATAAAAGAGATGTACGTACATTTCCGCTTAAGAGAATAACAACAAATTTAATATCTAGATGTGGTTAATTAGAGTTTCAATATTACAAAGAAATAACATTGTGAACAAAATATTTATTATAACATGCTCGAAATTTTTCAGCGAGAGCATACGTGTACATGGCCACGCAGCTTCGTATAATTTCTTCTCTCTGCTTTTCGAGAGTTTCACCGTTAAACCAGCGTACCAAAGTCCTTTGCTCTCTTTCCATCGAGAGTTTATTCGGCCACCAGTAACAACCACCAGTAGATATGTTCCCGACTCTATTTCTGGCAGGATAATAATAACTTCTCCATATCTTGTTTCAGCGACTAGGTTTGGATGACAGAACGCGAGATCTTTGCGAACAGTTTTAACTTTATAAAAGACGCGACAATTGGAAATTGTTGGAAAGCGATCATGTTCTTATTCTTTGCTGAAAGTCCGGCTTTGTTCCAAAACTGGCTTTTCGATTTGTTTCACGAGGAGACATCGTAGAAGTAATTTTTTTTTTTTTTTAAAGTAGGTATTGCATACATTTATATAGTTTTATCGATATTGTATAAATTACGTAAACTATGAATGTGTAATTCGTTCGTTCTATAAAATTGTTCGATTTTTTTTTCATTTTTACAAACTTCTTTTTACATAATTATCGTATAGATCGAATTATTATGCTTACGAACATGTAATTTCCTCTTTTAGCAATTAAATTTTTCGATTCTTTTACTTTTGTAGATTTACTTCTACAATTATTGTATTGAATTAGAATTGTCACGAAAAATGTTGTGGCAATAATAAAGTTGGGAATTGATAAAGAACAATTACGAACAAACGAGCGAAAGAGTAAAAAAGGAGAAAAGTGAGAGAAACAAATGCGTTACCTGCAATCGAGGTCACGATTGTGTCTAGGGTTCTTATTCAATGCCATGGTTAAGTGCCGTTACTATTATCTAGCACGTGACAATCTAGACGATAATAGGCAACTTTGGGTTATCGAATGAAATTGAAGAAACGTGGTCTATCGAAACGAAGTAAGTTTATGAAAATAAATGCAGACACTATACGCACGTACTTTTGTTAGCTGCAATTTCATGCTCGTTGTGCGAGCCAAAGATAGCGAGAGTGAACGCGTTTGGCATTTGTATCACAAATGATTATTTACGTTCGAATCAATCGATGGTTTTTTTAGCAAGGTTTCTTTTTTCACGATCTACAGACGTAGGTCACTGCTAATCGTATTGATAATCAAACTCGCCGAATTACAGGATAAATTATTTAAGTTTCATTCAAATAACTTTATCTTATCTCGTTGCACTATCTCTATATTTCTGTATTCCATTTTTATTATGAATTTCTAGGAAATATAAAAACGTTCGAGAAGATGTTACATTTGATTGGATAGTAACGGAAATTAAAGCTTTATTATATAACAGTAAAGGTATAATATTATCGTATAATATTCTCAAATGGGTTTCCCTTTTCCTTTTATTACAGGTACGTATATATACATATGCCTGTAATATATATACATAATAACTTAAAAGACTAAAATAAAAAAAAATTCACCTTCAAGTAGACCCGATACTATTGGGACAAATAAAACCCCCGATTGCCGTTGTATATGCGAATGGGAAAATATCTCTTGTTCAAGTCTTTTATCGACGAAACAATGATGAACTTGGATTCGATACATCCAAGAAACTCTGGGTCGTAGTTGGAATGTTCTCCTTCATTCGATTCACTCATTAAAACATAGGAAACATTGACAAATGTTTTGGAGCGACCGGTAGATCGAACTCGAAGCGTTGGCAGATATCGCATGTATCATCGTAGAACGTAATGACGCAGGCCGTAGATATAATTAAAAATATCGATGATAACAATCATGGCGTAGTTTCCATGGAAAACGGCCGTGATATCACTGAGGATTTATCGAGATTAAAGCGTTTTTCTGATTTTTGAAAATAACGAGAGAGGAAAGAAAGAGGGAGAAGCTGAAGAAGGAAAGACAAGGAAGGGAAAGTATCGTGGGGAAAACAAGAGAGAGGAAGAAATAGAGGGTGAAAAAAGTGTGAGTGTCCGTCAGTTTCTATTCGGGTCGAAAGTCTCTTACTACGAACGCTGCCCGACCATGTTATACAAATCCCCGGTTTGGTAGGGATGGTATTTGGTCGACTAGGGAGGGCTGCTAGACAGACCAACAGCAGACGGGAGTAACGATTGCCACCACCCTTGGTACGAGTCGAGCTAGTCACCCCCTTCCGTGTCCTTTCGACTTCCCACACGTCCCTGTTCTGAACCTATCCGTCCAGCGAGCCGGCCGCTTACTAACCAAACTGAAAATATCCCCTCGTTGGTCAATCGCCTTTGCTACCCCCTACTGTTTCTTTCCTGACAAACATATTCTTTCTTCGATCGTTACACGAGTATATGGTTCTTTTTCAGCGATCGCCGACGGTTCCAGCAACCCAGCGAGAAATTTCACAGATCGTCGAGAAGGTTTAGTTACTGTTAATAAAGAAGAAGGCTGAATAAGACAAAGGACAAGCATACATATTATGTGTGGTTCGCATGCGCGGAAGCTCTTTTTCAGAGCATCGATACCACCGACGACGTTCTATAAATAAATAACCGCTGGTGATAAGAACCGCTGGAAGCACAGGGTCGCGTGCATCCACATTATTTTTGCTTTCTCTGGTTATTCAGTCTCGGTTCGATCCGACGTGGACGAAAATAGAAGAAGGGCTATATATAAATTTAGATAAATTCTCAATGATGCTGTCCGTAAGTAGGATGATGTAGTATTTTTTTGTTGCATCTTTGCTACATCTATTATAGTATAGAAAAAGACACAGAATAATAGGTCGTTGACTTGGATTGGCAATGTTGAATGAACAACGTGAAACGAAGAAAGTGAAATGCAGTTCGGCCAATGCGATGGATGGATGGATGGACAAATGAATTTATGGATGGAATTAAATAGATGTCTGGATGGATCTCTGTATGGAGTATTGATCCGTGACCCGCCCGTTTTCACTATCGACGCAACCAAATTCTTGTCGCTCATCACGAATGTATTCGCCCGTAATTTAGAATCAACTACTTATCTATATCGTACGTACATACGACGTACACAGTAATGATCCGTAAACTCCGTACAAAGCATATATAGTCGTGGATGAAGTGCTTCTATAGAAACTTGCACGAACGTAGAACAGCAACGAAATCGGAAACAGCATTGGAAGAGACATTGTCGCGCGACGTGAGGGACAAGTGAACATTTTCTTTTATACGTGTATATACATACATACATACATACATACATACAAACACACACACACACATACATACATACATACATACATACATACATACATACATACATACATACATACATACATACATACATACATACATACATANCGTACGTACGTACGTACGTACGTACGTACGTACGTACGTACGTACGTACGTGGACAAATACAAGGGTATATAGGTAGTTGAATCAATAATGTGAACGACTGGTGGAAGGACGCAGGATACGCTCTTCGTAGTAAGAGATATACATACATATTTCGTCGCTGGTTTTCTAGCGAATCTTCAGCATTTACCGTTCTTATTATACCGGTTCCTCGACTGCCCTAACCGGCCGGCGCGGCGCAACGTTGTGCTATTCGAAAAGAAAAGAGCACACGCTTTATCCACGTTACAAGACTCGAGGAAACGCCGGTGTTGTATATAGTCCAATTTCGATTCGATCAATATAGTCTGGATTAGAGACTTTGCGCAACTTGAATAATAGTGGCATCGGATCGAATGATGGAAAAAAGATCGAAACAATCTTTGAGACGAAAGGAATAGAACGAGACAGATTTGTTTCGTTGATGAAATGAAAATGAAAATTGAGTGGAAATACGTACAAGCGCGGGGGCTAGTGGTAGGCTTGCGGCATGTAACGCGGAGAAGGCCTCGTTTCTCTATCCTTCTTGTCTTGTACGTTCATATTTTCAAGGTCAGTTGATTCGTCTCAACTAGTTACGGAGCTTTCGCTAGATGGAACCACTATACAGTCACGACGCTCGACGCGCGTGGCTCATCAGGAACTAAATTAACTTTCAATTCTGTTAATTTCACAAGTTTGACAAGATCCTTTCGATTCTTTGAATACTCCCAGAAAATATTTGTATTTTTGTTTTTTAACTTCAAGGAATTTGCACTTTCAGAAGATGGAATAAAAAGAAGTAATCGGTCGTTTGAAAATTACTGTTCGAATATACATCTCCGCAGGGTGATTTCACGTATGCGAAAAGAATAACCGTAGGGCTGCGCAAATCTGTCAAAGCATCTTCCAACTAACACAGATTAACTAGATTAACTAGATTAAACTAGTAGGAATAGTGGTAAATCAATAGCTACGTACAGATACATGTAACAAGAAATATCATCGTTGGAAAGAAACTGTGACGTTGAAGCGAACTTTTCGCGTTTCTTTCCTACGATGTAGGAGGCATGAAAATTATTATATCAGAAGCAAGTTATTTAAACAAGTCATGTACAGAGGTAACATAGCAAGAATCAAATTGGTGACACTCAGTGCCACGAAAGGTCACGCAAGAGATACATATGTATGTAGTAAGTCAGAGAAACTATTGGCGTTGCTTTGAAGAGGTTATTACATGGATTCCGAAAATGTGACGAACCACTTGAAAACTCGATGCCAGCGATTTTTGAAATAACGATGATTTAATTCATACGTATACACGTACGTACATGTGTACTATGTTTGTCTTCTGTGTGGACTCGATCGAATTTAATTATAAATATACACGGTGAGTTGGTACGAACGATCGACGTTGACTTCGACTTATCGACTCTTCACCGCGACGCTGTGTCGTCGTGAACGTCGTGTCGTCGTCCGAGAGCAAAAGTAAAAACAAAAGTGTGTTTCCGTTTTTCCAGATGTGATCCTTCTGATTTACCGATTTATCAGGGCTACGTTTGTATGAATCTATCGATCGTCATTTCGAAAACCATGTTCGCGGCAATGCCCGATCTGTGAGTCTGTTTACATTGCGAGGTGTTATCCCGTGATCGACCTAACCTCAACCCTATTGCAAACAAAGGAGAGTTTCGTTGCAAAGTAATTGACAAGTGAGTTGAGAGAAGACAAGAATATAAGCGATAAGTAAGTTCTTTTAACTATTTAAAATTACGAACGTGAGTTTCGAAGTCAGAACGATCGGAAAGAAATCGACTCGCGAGGTAAACAGGATCCACTAGGAACGGAGATTGGCTTGGCGAGAGCAAACGCATCGTGCTTTCTAGAGGGCCGGACGATCGCAGCGACGATTCACTGGTTCCACGATCGTGGGCTCTTGTAATAGCGCAAATTCCAGCGCTTACCTTTCTTGATGAGCAAGCTAGTGACCCTCCGTAGCGCCTCGCGAGTGCTGGAGGCGGAGCTGTGCTTACTTTGGCCGAAGTATTTGTTCGGTGTGATGTTTGTCGGCAGAGTCAGCGGTTTCCTTTGGTCCCCGGAGCCTGCCAGCCGTGGATCGTACGCGTTGTTTAGCCGCTCGAGATGCTCGATCGATGCTGGCCGCGGTTGATTCGCCTTTCTCGTCGGGTACCATCCGCGATTCGGACCACCGGCTAATCGCAACAACTCGGTCCCGATTATCGCCTGTTCCAGACCCGGGTTATTCCTTCGATACCTGTTCACATTAAACATCACCGACACATTTCCCTTGTTTCAGATCAGCTGATACTTTTTTTTTTTTTTTTTTTTTTTTTTTTTTTTTACGTTTTTTGCCGCTTTTCCTTTCTTTTTCGATCGTTCAAGCTACTATCTTTCTTCTGTAAAATTTGACGGGTCGTCGTGAGAGGGAGAGAGCTGTGATTTTGAATTTCATTTTCGAGGATCGTTTTCTATCTGCTTTTCGGTGACCAGAGAGTCAAACGGCAATCCGAGAAACCAAAAGATCGCTGTCGTGTTTCTCTTGGCGATCTGAAAGAAGCGCTGAAGAATAACCAATAGAATTGCACCACGTTCGATCCGAATTACGTGTCCTATTGTAATCAGCACTCTTCTTTGTATTATATTCTTAGCTATTATCCATGATATATTCAGCGTTATAACATCGTGGTAACAATAATATTAACTATCGACGTAGAATATAAATATATAAATATATAAATATATATATATATTTTTTGTATTTTACTTCTACCTTGGCTGCATTGGACTGTATCATATTGATTATATGTGGCATGCTAAGGGCGTGTACAAATACGAAATAAAGATCAAATAAATTACGATCGACGACATCCTGTACGTTTCTTACGAACCGCGTGAAATTCACTGAAAATTTAACTTTATCATAATACACACGTCTAAATACAGTGGGGAGCAACACAGCATTGAACCAGTGAACGTGTTGAATTTTGTAGACAATATTAATTTATTTACATATTCTAATAAGAAACGAAAGGAACCTGTTACACATAATTAACACTTTACTACAACAAACGTATAACAGTTTTACAACATTTTCTTTAATTTAGCAGTAACATAATTTTTGTTGTAACTCAATTATGCACCACCCAAAAAATAATAGAGAATCAGAGTTTTATAAATGTTTAACACTTTGTCCATAAGCCTTTTGCACTTAAAAACGGCTGCAATTCGTCTAGGCATACTCTCCACTAAATTTTTACATACTCCCAGAGAAATTGCATACCACTGCTCTTCAAGTTTTTCCCATAATTCGTTGAGATTTCGGAGGGGATTCATATTCTTCCCGTAGTTATAACAACCAAGCGTCTGAGGTAAGGGGTCGCTGCCATCAGTCCCACTGATGAGTCTAGGCATTGGCTAGACCTCACCAAAATCCTACATCCTTCCTCCATCCTCGAACTAATTGTAAACAGAATGTAAATATGTAGATACTATAGAGCTACTCTTAAAGACCTTCATTCCATCTCGAACGTTTTTCGTTATACGTTTCATTACGACGAAATATTCAATTTAAATAAGTTGCTTCCAACGATTTGAACATTTGAAACTGTTGATACGCTTTTATAAGACCATTGTTTATCGAATGACAAACAACCTTGACCTTCGCGCAGAACCAAACGTGAGACATAAACACAAACATTCGGTGCAAAATTGAGTCAGAAATATAAATGAGTAACTGGCAAACCGAATCGAGTAGAAGAAAAATTGTTACCTGCTAATTGCAGTAAAACAATTGTTAATTAATGTATGCAACAGATTCTTTTTATTCACTATTACAATGCATAAATAATTTATTATTACCTGCAACAGTACCAACATTGGTTCAATTTTGCTCCTCACTGTATATCTCCTGATGAATATCATTCTCGTTTCTGCGATCTGAAAGAAAGAGAGAGATCTAGGCAATACACGGATGCATAATATGTGCAACTGAATTTTAAATTGTAATTTCTTGAAGCAAGAGAGCTATGTTAGTGGTCACAAGTAGAAAATTCGTCACTAAAGATTTATACGCATAGACGATACGATATGAGGTATTGCAAAACAATACACGTTGCACCTTTACTGCAATTGGCAGAATCTTGCATCACCCTCCACGATTCAATCATCGTAGGTTCAATTCTCCAATTCATTAACAACTTCATACTATCATTCGCATTTCTACCATCGAATTGAAACACTTTGAACTATTTCACTTTCCTGAAGAAAAAGACAGAAGTATCCAGGTAGAGGAAACCATAAAAGGAGGCAGACAGGGATGATCTTGCAATTCCACGGGGATTAGGTACAAAGTCTAAGGAGCTCGAAAACGTTGGAGAAGGAAATAACAATAAAAACCGATCTTTTTATTTACGTACAGTATTCGAAATTTAAATCAAAGTAGATGCATTTTTCTTTCGTCTCTTGAAGAATAAAGTCTGCAACAAAGTCACGTTTCCTCGAGAATTTAAGAACGAGCTTGACTATGAAGGCAAGAAGAAAAAGTGGGATAAAAATCAAGATATCTGTTCGGGAGAATTTCCTGGGTGCATGCTCGCCGGAGAAAGTTTCTGTATTTTGAATGACCTGAGTCCCTAGCAGGTCCATAAACTATCGCCATAAACCTTGTCCTTCTGGCTGAGCTTTGTCTTACATCAGACCGTGGAGGTATGGAATCAGCTTTCCCGAACATGTGCGAAGACACTGGAGACAAAAGTCGATGGAAAGGGAATCGAGAGAGGTTCCCTGCTTTCTTTCGGTTTACGAATCAGAATTGATCCGACGTCCAGTAGTCTTCTCGCGATATTTACAATTAACACCGAGGGAGAAAAACCCTAATATACAAGCGCGCGTCAAAGATATACAGTCCACAACGCAAAACATTCTCAAATCTCGTACCGCTCGACACGCGCGCGAATAATATTGTTTTTTTTAAATAAAAATATCCAATATCTAGAATACACTGCGAGCAAACAAGATATACGCGGACTGTCTACAAGAAAATCACGTCCTCGCGATTTAAACGCAGCCACAGACGAGGTATATGAATAGACCAAGCATCTTGCGGGGTTTCGTGGCCCCTGACCTGAAATACCGACATAGTAAAAAAAAATCATTGATTTTTCAGCGCACTCTACGTTTAAAACTTTTATATTGCGATTAAACAATTAAATTAATTATTTCATTCAATAAGTGAAAGTCATTTCTCTTAAGTACATTGTTCGAGATTCTTATAAATTATTAAATAAATTATTATTTCTTATGAAATTTAAATAACACTTGAAAATATGACTGAAGAGAAATAAATTATTTAAAGAATTAAATAAATTATTAATTCTTATAAAATTTAAATAACACTTGGAAATATTACTGAAGAGAATGTATTGTTTAATTGTTGCAAGTAAATTATTAGAAATATTAGATAATGTTTGAACACTTAGAATATTCAGAAATATTGTTTAAAAATTCACTTCGAAAGTTTAATCGATGTGCAGCAGGTGATAATCTTTGTCAAATACTTCCAAACACACTATTTTCTATTCAGCAATCAGTAATTTTACAGTTTTATAGAAATATAATTTAAATAAATGAATATAAATAATTTTATCCCAATTTTCATCAATCGTTGTTTCAAATCGTTGTATTCCTTCATCGATGAATAATTGATAATTCTCAAAGCAGATATGGCAATCAACATTTTTTAATTTTAACTTTCATTACTACATACCCTCGTCTGTACTAGTAGTGTTGCAGTGTACTTGCCTGAATCGGTACAGCAGGATGTTGGTAAACGAAAACGGTAAGGGTGTTGAGACCACCCGATCGTGGGCCGAAAAAAAATACATTTTAAACGAGGTCTATTCATGTATCTCGTCTGTGGTGATGCAGTCCACGAGCCTTCCTTATCACGAGTGAACCCGGTCGATAAAAGCCGGTGTACGTGGCGAGTGGTGAAAACGATGATTGCTGAAACGTGAGGAGCGGTGCAACGGTGAAAAGCGCAGGCCTGCCAGTTAGGTGGTCTGGATTGCGACGTGGGAGGCGAAGAGGGGTCAAGAGCACAGGGATTCCCTCGACGCGTTTCGATGCGGTAGTCGACAGCATCCCGCGAGTGGTCGCGATCGAACGCGAGTCAGGGGCGGGAGAGCTGTCCGAGCAGAGGGTTCAAAGAGGAACCCCTGTCTCTTTCTCTCTCTCTCTGTTTCCCTCTCTTTCTCTCCCTCTCCCTCTCTGTTCCTCTCTCTCTCTCTCTCTCTCTCTCTCTCCTTCCTTTTACTCCGTCCACCGCCAATTCGAAAATACCTAGCGTAGTACACTATGTTTCTCTGAGAGAGAAACTCGCGTTCGGACACGCGAGTGAGTCTGACCCGGGACTAGCTCTGTAGTGACAAAATTTCATTTAATAAACACACACGCACACACACACACACATACACATTGTGGGAGGAGGGTGACAACGCCCCAGCGAATTCGAGGTAATCGACGAAATGGCCCTGTGATACTTGAAGCCCGTCGAGGGAGCCCTGGCACGCCTCCAAATCGTCTCAGCTCATCGACAACGCCGATCTGGCGACGTTCGATGTCGGCACAGCAAGCCGCGAAGTGTGTCGTTGCTATTTTCAGGTAGTACGTATCCCACTCGCTGTCCACTTTACGGGCTCCGCATCAGACTTGATAGAGAGCTTTTGCAAGCTTCGCGCGGCCTTCTACCCGCCTGGCAAGCGATAGCCTGTCAAGTTAAACGCCGTTTCAGTTGCTTGGAGCACGCGCGACACATTCTCAGGGCACATGCTCGTTCTTTCTTCGCGCCGCCAGACAGACGGCCAGCCAGCCAGCCAGCCGATTGATTAACTTTTCACGAGGGCAGCCGTTGCGCGCCTATACGCTTCCACCGCGCACGTGCTCGCAGCCGATACGAGCAGCTCCCTCGTCTTGTGGCTGAACACCGACCTTGCCTTACCTTGCCTTGCCTTGCCTTGCATTGCCTACCGCGAGACCACGTTGTTAGGCCTCGATTTATTCTTCGATTACGTTCAATGGGCGTGGATTGGTTCAGAGATAGAGCCTGCGGTGGGTTGGTGTTGATAGAGTATCGGTTGACGATAAAGTATCTGTTAAATGTGATGTTCGAGTGGTTGATGGAATTGTGGGGGGAGGGGGGGGAGGGATGATAAGGTTCTGTTGACTTGGAGTGCTAGGTTGGACGAAGTGATTTTTATTGTGTAGAAAGAAGGTTCAATGATTTGAAATATACTGCGTATACGATGAGAAGATATTGTTTAATGACACGACGATATTGAAGCATAATTTTTCAGTCATACTTGGATGTTTTGGGGTTTTTTTTTCTCACTTTCTTCAAAGTACTTCACTAACTTAGAATAGAGAGATGAGATACGTGTTCTCCTATTCGTTAAGAAAGAAAGAAGAAGCAGTAGGAGTATCGAAAGAAGAAACGCGTAGTTCCTCGTGTTCCTTCATTTCATAAAAGTTTGACAATAAATTAACGTAGTAGCCTGAAACCAACTAAAATGAGAAATGGAGGAAGGATAGAACAGCGAAAACTGGTGAAAATATTAAAGAAAATACTTTCCTCTCCTTCTCGTAAAAATTTCCTTATAAATAAGTTTCATTGATAGTAGATATACCTTGTCCAAACAAAAATGAAGAAAAGAAGAGAGTTAAAAAAGCTCAACGTCTGTGCTCTTCCTCGTTTCGTCACAGATTCGTCAATAAATTAACAATCTCACGATAGATTCATTAACTTTTTTTATTAACGGTATAATTCGTCCAAACGAGAAGAGACAGAGAGTCTAAACCAGTGGGTTTTAGATCGGTCTGTCGAACAGCGTTCGGTAAACCATGACGGTACACAGTATAGGTATTTACGCTTTAATTACTTATTTTTTTCTCTCTTTCTCTCTCTCGCCGCTCCAAAAAGTCACCGATGTGTAATATCACGGTCTTTTGTGTGCCACGGGGCTTCTGTGTGCGCGCGTAAAGCGCAACGATCGCACGTCAAAGCCGGCAGTGAATCTCCGCGAGTCGCAGAGCGCGGACGAAGCCGCGCCAATACGCCACGATAGGTGCGAGAAATCTTCTTTACTCCTTTTCTTTCCTTTTTTTTTTTTTATTCGCACGTGGCATTATCGACTCGTCGCCATTCTCGAAGAAACACTCGTTTCCTCGAGTGCATTTTCGAGCGACTTATAGTCTCTCGGTCGTTAGAAAGTTGACGCTCTGTTCCTTGGAATTTACGCGCTCTATCGCAGTGTTCTGTTAAATAAGTAAGTGCGTCGTTTCAAGTTGAATTGTTTCGCGTCGAAGCGTGCCTGTCGTGCACCTTCCACACGTTTTATTTTTATCGAGATCGATACGATTTGCCGATCGAAGCGAAGATAGCGGTGCAAGTGCACGGCGATTAGTTTCGTGCGAACTGGTGAATGAAAATGTCGTCCACGGTGATTTTCGTTCGTGACCGTTTGTTCGACCGTTCGTGGTTTGTACATTGTCGATCAGAAAACCTCGAGATACTATGCTTGTTTCAAAATCGGAGAAATTGAATAATTGTACAGCAGAGGATCTGTGAGGTATCAATGCATCAACAGCGATGTTGTAAAAATGCACGGACGTGTAATTTAAAAATTTCATTCTACGCGATAAGTACCGAGAATGACTCCCAAGACTTTTCAGCTTATCTTGGATAACGACATTTTTCAATTGAAGGCAAAAATTGTCTCACAAGAAAGCTGATCAAAAAAAAAAAAGAACAATTCTCCGCCTTTCATGAAGATTCTTCTATGGAGATTAATTCTTAATTAGTATATTAACACTTTTCAAAGTCTTCCTCGTACGAAACATCACGCGACCAGCTGCCAATTTTGAAGGAAATGTAGTTGCTGTAGTTCCGATGGTTGCTTTTAAGCGAGGGTGTATCTCTCTAATGGATTCGTTTCAAACTTTACCGAACGACGAGGAAGTTCGATGTTCTTCGCGAAGCACCGGATCACTCCGCGCTTTCTTAATTAGAAGTCGCGTCTCGGAACACAGACGGTGCTTCGTGCAATTATGGAAATCCATATACCGGTTCGACGTAAGCTCCCGTATTCCTGCGGATTAATTAGCCACTTAATTGCCAGTGTCGATTTAACTGAAAGCTTTCGTGCGCATCCGATGGAAACCGCGCGCTAGGCTTTCTCAGTGACAACACGCGCGAACAGCCGCACTTCGATTCAATCTATACACACGCGCACACACACACACATATATATACATATATGTATTCACCAATGCGAATACTTTCTACGATTTGAACCGTATCGTTTCACGAATGGAACAGGCGATCTCGTTTCTTTACGCTCTTCTAGCCGCGAAATACGATGCCTCGGTCACTTACAATAGGCTGAAGAACGCGTTTTGCCGTGACGCTGTGTGAAACGCGACGCGACACTTTTATTTAATAATAGAAATCAAGGAAAACCTCGAAGAACCAAGACACTCCTGGAGCAAATCTCGGGTCGTTTGTTATTGGAAAATTCGTATTGATTTTTACTCGATTATATTTGTTGGAAATGATACGGTGTGTTTGCTCTTGTTGGATATCAAATGAAATTGAAAAGAAATAGTTGGAGGACAGACAACGTCGGACAGTAACATCTACTGATTCTTCTTGTTATCTACGATTTTTCATTCACACGGTATTCACGTTCAGATAAGTGAAAATTCAATCGTCGAAAGTTGATCCAACCAGACACAGAGTAACATATGGAAATTCCACTGTACTTGGAGTTAATTAATCACAAGAATCTTTATTTTCAGCAAACTATTAGTAGATTGGTACAAGACGTTAAGTCGTAATTAGAATATTTAATTGCATTCGTTGCTCGAATCACTAGAATAGTGGCAATTATTAAATTTTCATAAAAATTTCTCAGAAATTTTCACAATTTGACAGATTAAACAAGAGCCCATTCTCCCCAGTTAATTTTCGAGCTTGTAGTGGACGAGTGAAAACTAGTGTCTAGCCGATTGTCCGAGCACAAGTGTCTAAAACGATTCAAATCGCGTATTGTCCTCCTAATCATAATTGACGATTGCGTAACCAACGCTCGAAAATAGGCGTCTCAACGACGTGGTGAGCCACGTCATTGAGAAAAGTCATCGTTAATTTTCGCCTCTCTATTTAGGAAAGTGGAGTCGTAGCGGCGATTCAGAGTGAAGATGAAACGCGAGTGAAACCGCACAAGGCTGTAGAAACTACGGCGACGAGAAAAGGAACAAAAAGCTCGTAAATGTGACACGAGCGACAGGCTCTCCTCGAACATGCAAGGTGCGGATAGCGCGCGAAAGAACAAACTTTTTTCTACGAAACAAAGAGCGACTACGAGTGTTATTTCTTTTATACCAGAATCACATCTATATTTGTAGACTCTTTTTGTACATTTATTCTGTAGTGTAACACTTTAACGAAACACGCGGACGTGGAATGGATAAATCGGCCAGGGTAGGAAATTACAGTGAATTAGGTCGCGAGATCTTATTGATTGAGCGAGGAAATAAGGACGAGTGTCTCCATCGGAATCAATTATCGCATACGCGAGTGCATCGTCAGACGCGTCCGTGCCAATGGATAAACACTGCTTTCTAGTGGGATGAATGAACGTGACCGGTGGAATTTCTTCGCACGGATGTGAGAGAGTTAAGACGCACGTGCTTAGTGAATCGACGAAGATTCGCGGATGGCCGCGCGTGCCAAACACGCCTGAAAGAATCAACCGTTATGACGTGATCCAGCAGCGGGAGGACCTTTAGACAGAGAAGTAGCTCACGAGGATTCCACGGCTATTTTAAGAGCATAGTTTCTGGGTGAAAAGTAGAAACTGACGTACGCGCGTGTCTCCGATAATAGTCGATAATAACGTTGCGGAACAAAGACTGTGAGGAAAATCGAACCTGTCTCAGGCAACGCGTGACAGGCTTTAAATTTTCTACCGTTTTCTTTCTTTTCTTGTTTTTCTTTTCTTTTCTTTTTTTTTTTTTTTTCTACGATCGACGAATAAATCAAACGAGAAAGTGGGGACAAAAGAGACGAAGCATGGAGGGACGACGAAAAATCGAGATTGTCCGCGTGCCTTCGAACGAGCGCGGTAACTTCCGATCGGTGGATGGTGTCCGTAATAGTTACAACTATATTCGTGTGGGCACGTACTGCCCGGAACCGGATGTCAAAGTGGTAGTTTGCGACAGTAAGCCGCCCATCGAGCAGAATCGAAAATTCAAAAAGTACGTACACGCATATCTCGTTCTTTGTCTCATTCTTTGTTGATCTTTTGTTTCTTCTGTTACTAACGATATAACGTTGTTTCAGGCATTTGGGACCAGTTTCGAAGCTGCTCAGACGTCGTCATCACACGGCATATCTCGCAACAAAATCCTGTGATAATATTTATAGCGTGAATAAAAGTACTAGCTCTTTAGACTGGAGAGTTACTCAAACGACGAACGAGCAAGGTAGAGAGAGAGAAAGAGAGAGAGAATCATTCACTTCCGATTACATTCATATATACCGTTACTGTCGAATCAACGTTAAAACTACACGACTAGCATTCAAAATGATCATTTCAGGCTTTCAGTCTCGTCAGAGCAGCAGCCTCGATTGGCGAGTAGGAAGATCCATCAACAAACTGCACTGGAGGGACACGACGCGTAGCGCGGAACAGCTTTCGAGAAGTGGAGCAATCAGTTCTGATCACCTTCAAACACCCAGTACAAAGTACTCATCATTCTATTGCACGCGCTTGACGTAGGAACGACAGTTAATGGGAACTACAAACTTTACAGGTCGAAATTGATCTCGTTGTTACGAAGATTGTCCCCGCGGCTTTCTCGACCGGGGAGTAAAAATTCCTTGCAAGCTTCGCCGACGATTTGCCCGTGGGTGCAGGTAGAGTATTCCTCAGAGTCGATCAATGACGGGCTGCGAGAAGACTCGCAGGAATGCGACGTGAGCTTCCAGAGAGAGTTGCAGCTAAACGAACTGAGGAAACGTATGGCTGGAATCCCTACCACTTCTCAGGTGATTTTTGTTACGTGATGTATACTGCGTTTCGTACGATAGAAATGATCAATCTTTGCTTGAACTCGTGTGGAACAAAAGGTAAATGGAAGGCGTGACCGCCTAATGGTTTCCGCCTCGAGTAATTTAAAAAGAAGACGTGGAGTTTAACGGCGTCGTTTTTTTTTTTTTTACTGACAACAGAAGGATAATTTTTTATCGGGATATTTTACCTCTCAGGTTACCACGAAAGTTACCAAGGATGGCAAGGAACAGCAAAGCTCGACACAGATCAGGATACACGTGCAACAACCAGAAAATGATTGTACTAACGCATCGAAATCGTAAGCTTTATTTTTCTTTTTCCATTTTGTTTTCATTTCGTTTCCATACCCTGGAACAATTTCTCGCTTTTGCATCGAACGTTCAAGTGATGAATATATCTTCAGAATCCCGTACGCTTTAAAACAGAGCAAGCATATACCTTCCAGATACCTGCATGCAACACCTAATTGCACCTAACGTTAGCCCGTAAGTAAACGTTAAACGATGGATGTATCACACCCAATAAACAATTGAGAATGTTCTCTCCGCACTGTGGTCTTAATCTTCACCTTAGATTTACGTAAGACGCACGAGTATCTTTTTGACTGCATCCCAAGTCTATGAAATAAATACGTGATTAGCAGGTGTTTGTAGAAATAAATAACAAAGGAATTGTTCGACGTTAAATACTGATAATTTTTATTGATACGAATACTATAATACACGACGCAGGTTTATCCTGCTCGACGTTCATTATACAATTATTAACTCGCTCGAGGAACATACAAAATGACGACGCGAGTCACATGTGTAATTAATCTTCATAATATGTACAAATTAAATTGTAAAAGTAATCTGTACAGTAATGGTTCACGTATTTATGAAGGCGAGTGACGCTTACATTTTTGAAAACGAGGCATAAGTGGTTGTCTTTCGACGGCACTTCAATTAATACACCGTCTTGCTCTTTAGGATTCACATAGTCTATGGTATGCTCTTCGCTTACATGACCGGTATTAAATTGAATTATTACATCGAGAACCCCCGGTTCCTTTTCTGGATCTGAACATTCTACAGGATCGGATAAATAGTCTCCAATATCGGATACGTCAGAATCGTCGGTATCACGATATTTAGGTTTCTGAGGCGATGAGGCTTTCAGTTTTATCGGAGATGACATCAATAAATTTTTACTCACCGTGCGTGCACACCTCGAATGAATGATTTTTTGTAATGGATCGTTCTCGTCGAATTCCTTTTGCTCGGGGGAACTCAATGAAGTATTGCACTCTGATGTAGTGTTATTTTTATCGTCATCATTGCTATTATTACTTGCGTTTTCTTCGCTATCACTCGAGTATATATTGCTGTAGCATTTCTCGTCGTTTACGTAAGTATAAGGTTCGTTGTCGAGCAATTTATCACATATCAACGTGTAACAACCCGATGTCCATCTTTGGAGCTCTATCTGCATCCTAGGCTTTGTAACTTCCTCCTCCGACACTACTAGATCTAATTCCGTGTAATCTTTAAGCAATTGGAACATCGTAGTCGACTTGAACATATTGTAGAATTTTTTCAATACGTCGGGAAGAGTTTCTTCGTCCGCCACTTCGTAATTACGAATATCAGCTGGTCCAACTTTCTTCCAAACGATTGAATCGGATGCCAGATCTGTTCGAAGTGTTGCATAAATTTCATCTTTCAAATAATCCGATAAAAATGTATACGAATTCCTTTCTACGTCCTCATGAATTTGTTTGATTATTTTAGGAAATAAATAACACTGTGATATCCAATAATCTAAATCAACGGATTCGGGTGTTGGATCTATGTAATTGGACAAAATTTCTGTTCTTGGTCGCCATACACGTGGTCGAAGTGGTCCATGAAACCAACCGTTTATAGACCAACGTGACTTGTTAGGTGATTTTATTTCAGCTACTTGGTGAAAAGAGTTCTCCAAAACTTCAAAAAACACAAGGGAATTGTATTCCGGTATTAATGATTTTACAACATTCCTAGGCAGATTATTCTCATCTGTGTCAAATAAATCCAGAGCTCCTCCATCATCCTCAGTCCAATCTTTTGAGAGGTACAATACAAAAGCAATTTTTCGATCACCCATATTATCATCATGACACAATAAATAATCTGTATCATAGTAGCAAGAGCTTGACATTGATATCTTCTTACTAAGTCTTATTTTAGTGTTACGTTCCATCCATTCTGACAAATCTGACTCAAAGGTCATATACAATAAATTTAAAAATTCCCTATCAACGGTAATAAGATCCTCAGTTTGTTCAAATTGATAAAGATCTATACAATTTCTTTTAATTCTAACATCCAGCAATTCATTCTTTATCTCATCCATTAATTCCTCGTTGCAAATAAAGTTTGATATTCTGCATACTCTAAATGGTTTTGATATAACTTCAAAGTTGTCTGTCTTTATGTCAGTGCGATTATGCCAATGCTCAGAAAATAATTTTTGAAATTTAGCTGAATAGAGAAAATCAGAGATGACAGATTGCTTTTTCCTTTTCTGTTGCGGTTCTCTGTCAGCCATTACTCTATACTTTTTTTAAACGATTGATAAGAATTCTTCTTTATATATCCTTACTCTATCAGTCTTTTTACAGTTATCCTTTGTATCAGCAGTACATGTCCCTTGTTAGTTTTGCTTACAAATACTTTTACAAGTTGATGAACTATATCACATTGTTTCTCATATACGCAGGCAGACATACAATATTATATATAACTTGATCACGTGTGTTTAATCGCCTGTAGCATTAAGTTTTCAATAGAAAATACCAATATTCTACTCAATTTGACTTTCGATTCTTCTCAAAATATCATCCTCAAAGGTTATCACGTATTTGCATTGCAGTTGATAATGATTGTTGTAATTGAATTTCCATTCCAATTTCTTGGCAAATTAATGTCTCATTCTCCGTTAAGACACAACGTCGACGGTAAATATCACAGTTTCCTTAAATATATGCACCAGACAATGCAGTACTTATTTTTCGATACATGCGGTCCACGTGGTCGTCCGAACTGCACGTGTTCTGAAAAGTTGATTGAAAACTCGATAAATAAGATCCCGTTTGCACTGCGATTGTATCGATTTATCGAACAAACGATCGTGCAACGTCTTAAGTCGCCTATCTCGATACTTACGTACCAAGAATTGCACGTGTGTCCAAATTTAGAGAATTAGTTTTGTCGTTCCGTGACACCACAAGGTTGTATTCTGCCCAGGGACTGTTACAACACAACCGCTGGCGAAACCGTTGATTCGATCGGAACTCAGGGACGTCGCGAATTATTCGCGAACCCTAACCATACGTAGCTTTTTCGCTACGTGCGATTCGCACTTAACCTTATTTCGTACCGTCTGACGTCACGGACTGTTGTGAATCGGTGCCGCGTTCATTTCAAATCTCCGTGCCACGTAAATCTTTCTCTTCAATACAATTTCGTTCGAGAAATCGTGTCACATGTGTAATAAAGTCCATTGGATACTAAATATTAAAACGATTTTGCAATCTGTCGTAATACATCGCGAAAACTTCAATATTGTAATCTTTTAATTTAAAAGGTAAATGTAAATACATTTATTTGAATCGCAATCTAATCAATCCACACTTTATGTTTAAATTTACATCTTTGTAAACAATCGTTCAACATCTCAAGTGTTAATAATGTCATCGAAATTTGCAAATAGAATGGAAAAGTGTATTGTTACATTTTAAACTTCGTGCGACTGATTTACTATTTCCGTGCGAGATTACTACGTAGATTTAACGATTTAACTTTCGAATCTAACGACAAGATCTCGATTGTTCGAAATTTGATTTTGAACAGTTCACGAGACAATGGCTGCCATTAGTTCGGCCATTTGCTGCGCGGCGTCGCTGCGCGCACTCGTGTCAAGATGGCGGCAGTGGTTCGCGTTTGACGGATGCTGTTGATCGCGTGGAAATTCGGGGCACACCCTAAACGTTAAATTGTACGAAGTGTGTATCGTCAAGTCGAATGTCCGATCGTCGTGAAATCCTCGTGTGAAGGACCTGCTGGCAATCCTGGAAGCCGACGCACGAGCAATCTGCGCATACGTGAGTAACGACACACCAACGAGACCCACGTACACACAGCGTGACAAGTCTCTCGTCCTTTCGATTTTTTTTTTCTCCCCCGGGATCTGTCAACACGCGGTCCGTCCTTCCAAAAAATGCGCGTTGCCTGCTTGTCGTTGGTCGATACGCTCGACAACCGAGGGGTGGGGTTTTCTTATTGAAATCGGCAATGTAAACAGGCGGTTAGGATACTCGGCGATCTGCCAGTCACCTTTTGTTTGTGTCGAGATCACGTTGTGCCGGGACGTGTTGTGTGTTGGCGAGACACGATTTTACGCGAGCAGTGTTCGAATCGGCTCTGAGTATCACGTCTCGATCGATAATATTCAGCTGTCATTGTCGAATCGCTCGTCCCTTGAATCCGTGTTTCCACGATTCTTCGTTTTATTGGGCCGATCTACTGTCTTGGCCTTGAACCGGACTCTTACTGCCCTACTGTAACGATTATGGCGTGACGAAGCTTTCGAATTTTGAAATCCACACGCTTGTGGAAACCGCAGGTGAGTCAGGTGGAATTCCTCGATCGCACGTCACTCCCGTCATATTCGATTTTCTTATTCCGCCTTGTATGTCCTCTCCCCCATCCTGCACGCGTACAGGGATCTCCGTCGAAGATTCTTTCCGTCTGTAAGTGACTATCGATTGCCATAGAGAACTGCGTTTCTCCCACGTCACACTTTGTTTTTTCCTTCGACTGGTGCCGTGTCTCTATATCCAGTAACGAGAAACACGTATTTTTCAAAATGCCACATAGGGAAAAATTATCGCGTAATTTTGCATTATCGAGCATCGATGCGGTGGAAAAGCACAGGTGTACGATTCTCACAAACGACAATCGGTACACGTTTTCTGTTACAACGTAATGATTGTTTCGATAAGGTGGGATCGTGGAAGTTTCGCGGTGAGGTAGGTCATTCGCCTTTTTTCTTTTTTTTCTTCTCCTTCGATGGAATACCTTCGACAAGATGGCCAAGTGGCTCGTTTAACGATTACGCCACTCGAACCACTAAGCTTGTCGGTCGCAACATTAAGTGTACTGTTAAACTTAAAGTACGTCCATTAATGTCGCTGTGTAAACGTTTCTTATACGTGGTGGTCTACCTGTTTCGTACTTTACTGTTTCTGACTCGACAGTTTCGTATTTCCCTGTTTTCCTCTAGTAAATTGCCTTTACACCTGTTAAAGATGAATTTTCAACCGAGCTTCATATTTATGTGTTGTAATTTAAATTAAAAACATTATACTATAAGAGTTCGTATGTTAGTTTAAATTATCTTCGTTAGAAATTCCTCGTTTAAGATTCAGTGTACCTTTGATTTTTTAATTAATTTTCTCTCAACGTCTTTTATCGAATTTTCAGTAATAATTTGTGCTTCCAGTATTTTTAAAGAACCTTTGTAGAATTATCCCTTTCTATTCATAACAGTTTGAAAGATCTAAACGAAAAGATATCACTCGTGTCAGTAACAAGATTCCTTTTTATCTTCTTTCAATGTTAACAAAATTCTCCACCGATGTAAATATGTAATTCATAGAATCCTAGGATCCACAGCATTTTATTTTAGGAAACTCTTCAGCGTAACGAGTAACAAACTTTTTGAGAAACATTTCCTATTAACGAAAAATGAAATTCCACTTAAAAATGATTCGGAGAACGTAGGAGAGTAATTTAAGAAACTCAATAAATATCAATAACAATTCATTTCCCTCAAATTAGAAAAATTCGATTTTTCGTTGAGAACGATCCGAAAGAAGTGCGAGTCGATTTTCATCACTTGCTGCCAGAGATTGAATATACCTGCAACTTCTCGAAAGATCCTGTCAGATATGACGTTGAAAATACGTCAAGACACCTGGTATGCGGGCGAACCGTTACCTGTTACATCGACGTGAAAAGGTACAATCTATCCTCGTCCGCGTAGCCCGATTTTTTTTTTTTTTTTCTCCCCACGTGTTTTGTGCGCACGTATACGTATGTATTTAGCATACAGCGGTAAAACTCGATACCCCGTTGATATCATTCTTTTAAATAGGGTGGCTTCGAGCCTGAACGAGTCAGGTCAGATTATAACATTGCGTGACTGGCGTAATTATCCCTCACGATGAACCTGCCGCCGCGTAACCACGTATACGGCATTAAATTCCAGTTATCGACCTCGCTGGATCGTTTTTATTCTCCACGGAATCGAATTAATTCGATTCGTTCAACTGGTTTTACCTAGGCAACGACTCAATCGAAATTGGAGCAATCGCAATTATTAACCTTTCCGGAGAATGCAGCTAGCCTAGTTTGATCCATTCGTCGTTGAAGTTTTTTCCTTGGAATGCGCGTTTTTTTTTTTATGATTGGACGATATACTTTTAATGACGACCAGCGGCTGAAACAATTGTCTAAACTGAAGGTTTCTTCTGCAAGTGAAATTCTGCAATTCTGCAAATTGCTGACTCTTTAGCTACGACTGTGCAGTTAATTTGCGTAAGAAATCGAGGAATGCTTATTTGAAGTAGTAAGAACTCGAGAGATGGTGATAATGATTTCGTAAGGACGCGAGACGACGTCGGACAGGCTCGAATACGTGGTTGGTCGGCTGCGAAATATCGCCGAGCCCGTTTCCGCTTTTCTACAGCTTAGAGAACACCACGTAGCGGCACGGAAATCGCTTATGGCATCGTTCGTCAGTAGAGTGCGACGGTATCGAAGGCAACGCGTTGTTGTCAAAAGAAATGAATCCGATTGTCGGTGATCCAAACACGCCGTGACTGTCCGAATCGATTGTCGCGTTGATCCTCGCTTTTACTTCGACCCGCATGCTCTACTTTTCCTCTGTGTTCCTCGATGATTGCGATAGAGGAGAATACCCGATACAAGAGAAAACTTCATTGTAAAAAGTGGAGCGTCATCCTCGCCCTGACTGTGAAACGCGCGTTTATTCGAGCAGTGATGTAAGTTTCACAAACAGAAAAAGAAAAAAAAAACTAATTTATTCGAGACTTATACATATTCACGTTGATTCGTAAGAGTTGTTACAAGAAACGGGTTACAGTGGATCGTTTTACAATCGTGCTTATGACAAAGTTGTTTTATAATTTTTATTTTAATCTAATTTATAATTTATTATTGGTGTTTTCTAATTATCATAGAATTGTATTTTAAAATATACATTCCCTGTCCTGGTAAGACGAAAGAACGTTTAGATTAGCTTTTCCACTCCGTCGTCGTTTTCTTATTTTAAAATTTAAATTCAGCTGATATGATGTCGGTATATGTGCATTTAACATTATACATTCAGTATCCGTAAAGGTCAGCTTTAGACTTAACTAGTACAGTCACTTGAAATTGAAAACCACGGCACACGGATAAAAAATAAACGTGAAACGAAAATCTTCTAATTATAGTAATTACCAGAGTTCTATAAAATTTTATAGTAGAAAAATTTACAGAATACACAGGACGTTTCAAATTGAATGAAATATCGTGTACATTTCACATCCAGCTAGCTTTCATTTCTTAAATTACGTCCATTAAAAATGTAAATTTTGCATAAATGTCCGCAGTCTGGTAATTACAAAACGATGAAGTCATTCGAGTAGGTGATTCTCCAACGACTTTGAACAGCGTATAATTAAAATAATACCAGTCGTAGCCGAAGGATTAAGCAAGAGAGTGTCGCGTTTCGTTTTATGCAGTTGGTTTTCATTTCCGTAATAACAATTTGGCACGATGAGAGAGAGGGCACAAGGACCACGAAAGTGTTCTTATTGTTTCAAGACGAGTCGAATCGACCGCGTGCGAGTTTGGTATCGTCGATACGAAATAATGCAATAAAAGGCCACTTGGCCGTGGCACAGGCAGCTGCTGCATTCTCAGTTCACGCGTTGCATCTGCAACGAGCTGATTGTGATTTCTTTTCTGCATCGTTGTTCCATGAGACGTTGTTTTGAAATCTGTAAAATTCGGTGTTTTATTTATTCTCTCTTTCAACGGGAATTAAACATAGATATACACACGAAGTTCTTGATTTAATTTGAATTCTCTTTGTTTCCCATAAATTAAGAAGAAGAAAAAAGTGAGAATTCAATTTTTCCATAAATGCATAAAATTTCGTTGACTTCCGTTTCATTCATTTTAAAATTCATTCTCCTCTAATTTTCAATTGGAAATTGGTGGTTTAATTGGGACGTTGCAAC